AATTCTAAACTTTAACATTTTCCTGTTAACTGAATATTTCTGACCTCCTTTCTCAGAGGAGCAAAAAAAAGAGTATAGGCTGCTGAAGAATGCATTCCAGTTATATAAGGTAAGGGTGTTTTCTCTCCTGTGGTCCTATTTGAAACTGGATGACACTCAATTCCGTATTTTGCTTAATGGCAAAGCAGTGGATGCATAGACTCCATATGTAGGCAGGGAGCCTTGGGCACAGGGGACTTTTTTTTGGTTGAAGTGAAATCTGGGAGGGGGATACAAACCCTTGTGAACAACACAGCAGAGTTTGTCTTACAGAGGCAGCAGTAAGATGTTACGAAGCCGGTGATTTGGCATTTAATAATTTTCTTTCACCTCTGCAGTAGAGTAGTAGGGGCTCTTCCATGAAGACAACTGCTTCTACTGTTGCTCCTAAGGGCAATCTTAAGAAGAGTTTTCTGATGTGGGAATGGCAAGAGCTAGGGGCTGTGTTTGTAGCTTGGTGCGGGTGGTTCGAGGGTCTCTTGGTCTGTATGCATGGCTGTTTTCTTTCAGTTTTGTCCTCTGTGCAGAGCAGCATTGCTGATGAGATGGAGGAGAAGTGGCTCAGGAGAGAGGCAGAATGGAAGAAAAGTGAGAAGATTGAGTGGGAGAGAGCCCTCTTACAGCAAAGTGAGTAAAGAGGGAGCTTGTATCTGCAGGCGCAGGTTGCCTGATGGGATCTCATGCTGAGACTGACTCAGGGTAGTAAACTGATATCAAAGAATAACTGTGCTTTGAAATTTAGTGAAATGAAACTTCTTTTTAATCAAGCTTTCTGGGGCTAGAAACTCCCCTAGAATAACGACATTTAAGAGACTGTAACCAGTTAGAGCAGTGCCTTCATCATGTTCCTGCTAGTCCTCTTGTGGCCCAGCAGTGAGATATGCTGTGTTTTTGTACACACCACGATCACAAGGTTTGCAGTGACTGCACCAGGGTCACCACACAAAGGAGAAATCCCAGAGGAAGAAGAGGAATGTGTTTTGGGAGGCAGTAATACAGACTATGTGAGTGTGTAGGTGACAGCTGCTTATAGGATGGACTTAGCATTTGTTAGGTCTTCATTTCCTGCCACTTGATGCTACATTGAGCTACAAAAATATTGTTAGTACAGAGTTATGGTAGAAAATCTGGGATAAAATGCCACATTGTCCCGTATGTCTTAATTCCTTGCACAGACCTGGGAATGCTTGAGAGACCTCAGTGTGTGTCTTTCCACAGAGCAAGTGCTTACAAATAAATTTAAGAAGGAACTTCAGGAATTATCAAAGCTTCTTCAAGACAAAAACTCTACAATGGAGAAATGTTTCCAGCAGGAGAAAGAGGTGACTAGACCTGGAGAAATAAGGCCACATTCAAATGCAGCATAAGGTGTATGCTGTGACTGTGACCAGAAGCACAGCCGTGCTCAGCACGTTGCAAGTCAGTGGTCTGTAAAGTGCTTGTTCGCAGGGCCCCACATTTCCCAGCAGTGGTGCAGATCTGGGTCTTCTATTTAAGCATTCAGGAGTGAAGGGGTGCCTGGAGGAGCATGTTTCTCAACTTAGGATCCACAAGCTACAAATGTCTTCAGTATCCAGGCTCCTGCTGCTAACGGGTTCCTGGGAACCTGCCGATTTACCCCTCTATACTCCTAGATCCCTTTGTACACCTGGAAGTTGAACCCTGGGGCTACGAGTACAGACAACAGGCTGCTGCAGGCTGTGCCCCCTTAGCCAAGCATCTCGGTGCAGTTGGACTGTTCAAGCACCTTGAATTTTGTGTGGTTGACAGCAGATGACTTCATGTGACAAAACTGAACACACCCTTTGTAAAATGACTTTTTTTTCCAGCTTTTTATGAAACAGAATGAAGAAAACTTGGAGAAAATAACAGAGTTGCAGAAGTGCAGAGAGGCAAGTTTGGCTGCAGAGGGAGAGAGCGCGTGTGGTGTGGGTGCGAGTGGGGCTCCCTTGGCTTGAAGAATGTGCATGATGTGATACTGGGTAAGGGGCTTTCAAGCTTGACCTTCCCAGGCAGCACAGCAGGGCCAGGTCCCTAGAGCTCTTAACATGCCCAGGCCTTGGAAAGCACCCACAGGCATAGAATAGATTTTGGCTTAAATGACTTGCTTTTTAGCTACCTTAAGTGTGGGTTATTGTTAAAGACATTATGCAACAAATTACATGCTGCTGTAATAAAATAATTTTCCATCAGCGGAAGGAAGAGCAGCCTTCTGCCCTCTCCTCCGCCTTGAGCTAAGATTTTTAGCACTTCCTGCACTGTGTGTGAGTAATTAAACACTCATGCTGGAAGCTATGTTGTGCGCCTACCTAGCCAAGCTAGCAAAAGAGACAACGTGAAGTGTTAAGTCTAGGAGCTAATCCAGCCTTGTGGGGGTGAGACTGTGTGGCTGGTTCCTGCAGCCCCTGAGGGAGGGAGGGGTGGGAGGATGCTGGAGAGGGGCCTGGGTGCTGACACGGCCACCCATGACATCTGTGTGACGCTGCAGCAACTGGAGACCGATCTCAAGAAGAAAGAGGAGAAACTTGAAGCTGTTACGACCAGTCTGCAGGATGCCCAGAGTGAGCTTCAAAGACAGGTGGGGAAAGCATGTGAGATCACCCTGTGACGCTTGGGCAGGGGCATTTACAGAGGCTCCCCTCCTGTTTTTGGACTGAGGGAAGCTACTGTGATGCTCATAGCTTTAAATTTTAGTGCAAAATACCTCTCCTATTGAAGACAAGTTACACAATGGCAACTGAGACGTTATTGCTCCCTTCATCTGATGCGTTAATGTTACTGCTCTTTAACATAAGGCAGTGTCTGGCTTCATGGTCAGACTGGGAAGGGATGTGCCTGACTCTCTGCTTAGCAGAGGATCAAGGCAGGCCAGCGTAGATGGCCACAGGCAGAAATCCACAGCACTAAAAAGGCTGAAATGTGAGTTGCACAATCACCCCTGTTACTTCTAGCAGAGTAATGGGTAGGTTGCTACTTGGGATGTCTGCACTATATTTTAAGGCTTTACCTGCAGCTCAGTACACTTGAAAAATACCTGACTCCTCCTCCTGTGGCATCTGCAGCCACTATAGCATAAGCGCATTTATCCTGTTCCTGGAAATCCTGGAAGTTGTTGCAATGCCAACATTTGCTTCCTTTGGACTGACTCCATTCTGCTTTCCCTGTATATCACTTTTTCCATTTCAATGTGTAGCCTATTTGTCATATTGCCAGAAAGCTGATTTCCTCCGAGAAGTCTGTCAAAAAGAGGAAAGACTGTGAGACTAGAGAAGCATTTGGTCCCCCACTACCTATTAGAAAGCTGCATGTTGGGATAAGAGATTGTAGTACTCTACCTGGTGTTGAATTACTATGATGTTAACTGTGAATAAGTATGTACCGAAAAAGAAATGTCTTAACTTGCTGTGAAATTTAGGCTATTCTGGTTTGTCACTTCTAACAATCTGTTCCTCTAAAATCACAAAAGAAAGGACCAGTGGAGGCTAAGGAGGACAAGTTGTATTTGATAAAACTTGTCCGTCACCAGTTAAGTTCTGCTGTTTGCTGCTGCTGTCTCATATTTTCTAGCTGGGAAAATTCTTCTTTGCAATGAAGAAAACTAACTGTGTTTCTCTCTTCCTATCAAGAAAACAAAAAATCTGCTGCTGGAGAGAAATATCAAGCAGAGAATAGCATCAGTTGAAGAAAAACACCAGATAACCGAAGCTTCTCTGTATGATGAAAATATTAACCTGAGGTAGGTCATTAGTGTGCAGAGACGTAACAGAGCATAACTAGAGCCAATATAAAAATGTTAGATTACATTTTTTTAAAAGTCTTCCTGTGTGTGTTCTGTCCCATTTACATCTCTGTGCTGCTCACTGTTGTTTGGGGCCTGTCAGCCTGTTACACACACGAAATGTGTGTGATTGTAGCTGCGACTGTAGGATACAGCGCTCTGGGAGCACACACAGGCCCTTTGCAAGTAAAAACACGTTGATTTCGCCAGGATTTCTGACAGTGCCCAAGAATTAGCTAATACACAGAAGTTTATCTGTCCTTGCTTCAGCTCAACTCCAGGTGCTTTCATGCTGAATCTCTAAGCAAATATCAACTAGTACCTAGGAAAGTTACCCTGATAACATGGAAGCACAGATTGGCCTGCTTCTGTAACTGCTGGCTGCATCTGCTATCTATTAATGTTAAAAACTTTCACAGTCAACAATGTCTTTACCTTTATCTTCACAGACACAAACTAGTGGAAAAGAATGAAGAAGTATTCAGCAAAAGAATCCAGGCAAGGATTTAGGCTGCTAACCTAACTGTAGTGAAGATATAATCTGTTCAGCGAGGTCATTGCCTGCGTTGGCATCATTGCTAACACTGCAATCTGTAATGTGATTGTAACAGAATGAACATGTCAATAAAAAAATAGTAACAAATTGGAGCTTTACCTTCTACTCACAGTTTGCTTCATTCCCAGTTCTCTGATCACAGGAGGTACTACAAAAATGTTTTGAGGAGGTGGTCACTTATCTAATGACCAGCAAGGTAAGTGAAACTGGCTACAGGCCATTTTCAGCCACGAGGCTGCACTTGGGACAGTGGATTTAATTGTTAGGACTGCTAGAGGAGGAGGATGCTCTGAAATACTGAGCACCTCCACATCTCCTTGAAGATCATAGAGGAAAAGTTTGGAATTTGTCTTGAGATGATGTATTGAGTCTCTAAAACCGAGTTAAAGAAAGAGCTAAGAGCACTGATGTGAGCTTGTGCATCCTGTGCTGTGCCTCTGATGCTGCTCTAGCACCTCTGTTGCTAAGATCATCTGTTCAGGTTTGTGGTGCTGTCAGGCTGTGCTGAGGAAGACTGGTCCATTTATCCTGATCACTAATTCGAGAGTATTCTCTGACTATAACTTTTACAAATTTTAAATAGAATTTGCAACCCTTCTCCTTTATTTTACAAAAGCAAAGCATAAAATACACAAGACTCTGTAACAGTTGTCTCTCAAATTTGGCAATGTGTTCCATCACTTTTGGAACAATATCTTACTAAAGAAACAACAATGTAGTACAGCTGATAGAACAATGAGTGTATTTTAGCCAGCAAACTACAAATCAGAAACCAGTTCAGAGATATTCTCAAGTATAAAATGTCATATAAAATATAATTGCCTGAAAATGTAGCTGAGGAGCAATAAAACAGCTGCTCTTGCGCTAAAAGCGGACAGTGCAAGTTGTCAGTAATGTTTTACCAAAGCCTGAGCTTGTACCGGCAGTTTCCCAGTTGCTGCTCTGCAGTTCCCTCACTTTCAGTTGACAGGAAAGATGAGCTTTTTCCTCAGTGTGAAACTGGGCTGTGGCATCTGCTTCCCTGCATTCTGCGTGTCAAGCTTTCTGCTCACCTCTTCATTCACTGCTGTCAGGATGGTGAGAATATCTTCTCCTCTGCAAAAATACAGGTATGTTTTGTATTAGAGAAGTGGTTAATACCAGAAAACTTAATGTGTTCTCATGTATCTCGAGCCCTACACCAGCCCTAATCAATCCTGTTTTAAAGGCTTCAGCAGTGAGGTAAATTGTTTTTAGCAATCTGTTTATCTTGTTGCTCTGTCTAAAACTACTGTTTTCAGTCTGAGCAAGCACTCCCTTCCAAACATCATCTGCCTCCACATCCAAACCAAATTCCCATCATTCAGAAGGAAAATCCAGGTGTAGCCTATGGAAACATAGTTACCGAGGACAGCTCTCCTCTAAGTGCTGGCACAGTGACTGTATATACCAGCTGCCATGGCTTGGGCTTCTGTAGGAAACGTAGTCCTGCAGAGTAGCCATGCCCAGGAGGAAGTCTGCTTCTGAGGGGATGAAGTCCAGGTGCAGTCTCCCATCTGTTTCTACAGAAGAATCTTGCTCTGCAGAATCCACTTCAATGACTACACCTTGCTGGCGAGCATCTCCTTGGCAGGCCTGAACAAAGAAGACTTTTGGTTTTCCTGCAAGTGAGTGGCAATTCTGCCCAGTGAAAGAAGTGGTCAGTTCCTGGATAGGTACTTCCTGACCGTCAACACCATATATAATGCCTTTCTTTCCATGAGAGAGGATGCAGCAAACAAAGCAGTCCCTGTCCTTGTGGTCCTCATGCTGGTACCTTTTCACAACGTTATGGATTTCCTTTGCTGTGAGGTCTTTATATTCTGCTATTTTAAAGTGAAGCTTGCTAAAGACTTTCCTTAGAGCCGCTAGAAAGTGAAAAAGAAAAAAACAGAGAGAGAACTGGACTAGAGTGTCATAAAGTTTTTTCTTCCATTTTTATTCCCTCCAAAATTACATTAGTGTAGATAACCCAGATGTTTCTTAATCCTGCTTGACTTCTGTAACTGGTAGTTACATTCTTGCTTTGAAAAAAATCATCTAGTGCTCTGACTGCTAGTCATATCATTAAGTACCCCCCAGTTCTCATTACAAGGCTTCCATGCCATGTTGCTGTTTATTATTTCCTCTGTCTGGAAATGTACAGAGCTATTAAGAAAGCCTTATTTTCAAATTTACTACACAGCTAAGCTTGCTGCTGAAGGTTGCAGAAAACTAAGTAAAATGCTAGTGAGCTGCTCTTAGTGAGCCAGAGAAGCCCCTGATGGGTTGATTAGGGTTCGTCAAGACAGGAAACAGAGCTGAATCAGCTGCTGCAAAGAAAGGAGCCTAGAGAGGGAAGCTTGACATTTGCACCTTTAGTGCAGATTAAGGAATGCATTTTCTATCCTTAAACTAGTCTACTTCCCATGAAGTGACACTATACAAACTCATCTTAAATGTTCACAGTACCTGCATCCACGTCTGTCCCCTTCCGATCCTTCAGCTTATGTCCAGCCACTTCTGCCCCAACTCTCTCAAAATTGTGGTTGTTGAGGATGAGGCACACTCCCCGAGGGCGGCTTGTCATTTTGTAAACTTCGAGCTGTTGGAATAAAAGCACGCTGGTGAAACCACTGCACTCTCCCGCAATGCCTCTCAGCCCTGGACTTCTCCGGCCAGCCTTCCCCAGCCACCTCTGCTCCATGGTCATGGCGAGACATTGCCCCCCTGAGCACAGGGGTCTGTGCTCTGTGCACAGCATGTCCTGCCCCCATCATGAAGCTCAGCCCATCAGGGATACTGCTAATGTGCTCAGCAAACTGCAAATTGCCTGGAATCAGAACATACCTTGCTTCACTTTCAAGGGTTTCTGAAGCTTTCTGCAGCAGTTGCTGCCTCTGATTCAGCTCCAGAAAAAGCTAACTACACAAGTGGTGCCTTTTTCTCTTTTACTCTAGACACAGACTTTAACAACTGTGCTTGTAGTAACTGTTCACCTCAGGGAGGGATGACTCCTTCTCACACAAGATGATGATCATGATGTTTCTAGGAAACAAACCGACTTACCTGTGTATATTGCTGGTGTCTGGCAGGAGAGTCAGATGCCAGAAATGAGGCTGGCCGTATGGTACGGTCTGAACATACACAAAAAAAAGGTATGTGTAAGTAACCTATGTAGTGCTAGAGAAAGGAGAGAAACCTTTTTCCTATACTCCTTCTCAACAAGTATTTCTAGAGATAACTCTTATTTGAAAATACTAAGTTGTGTATTTTTATGATGTTTCTGTTAGTTATAAATCATAAAAAAAAGAAAAAAATAAAAGAGAATAAAAATATTTTGATAGTTAGTTAGTGGGTGCTTGGTCCCTATTTAAGCAGTCACCTTTGTAAAGTGAGCTGTGAGTGGCATACAGAATCCAAAAGTTTGAGAAAAAAGGCCTAAAGAAATTTTTTGAGGTGTTACCTGCAGTGATTCCTAGGATCACAGAGCTACTCTGTCCCTCTGTGCAGAGCATCTCTTCCTGACCTGAAAAGCATTTATCATTAGTCCTGCATGGCACTTACTGGTCACTTCAAAAGTAACTGATGTGCAAGAGGTCTTTTTGTGGTGTTTTTTGTTTTGTTTTGTTTTTTTACCACATAGGCTTAATTCATACTCTTCAATTTTCTTCACGAGGCTCTTGTCAACTTTTTCACAGAGACTCTTCAAGACCTTTAGGTTGTCTTCTCCCAAAATCCCCTTCTTCTCCATCTCAGTGAAAACGTCGATCATTGTCTGGGCAATCAGAAAGGCAGTTTCTCCTTAGGGCACATTCATGCTGCCAAGGGGAGGGAAGCTGCTGCACGTATAGATGTACCCAAGCCAGCTTTAAATGTACTGACAGCCCAAGTGACCTCCCCCTGCCCCACAACACACACCAAGAGTCAGTCTTGCTCACAGGTACCCTGATTGGTACCTCAGCTAATTCAACTCAGCTAAGCAACTTCTTCAAGACATGCTCGTTTCCCTCCTGTTCTTCAGAAATGCTGATCACCACTCTATCTAGATACAAGAATATGCTGTATTTTTTGCTCTCTAACTCATTTTTACACTTGATTTCTGCTTTCAGTCAGCTGCTTTCCAGTGGCAGTTTCATGCACTTAACTAAAATGCAAGAATCGTTTCAGGGATTGCTTCCGGCAGTGAATAAACTGAATCCAACCATGCAAGCATGGTGTAGAGATTAGTCTCTGAAGGGAGAGAGGACGCTGTGGTCATGAGTTCACACCAAAGAGCAAGTGGCAAAGTGCTCTGGTCGCCCCCAGGCTTTACTAGAATGACTACCGAATGTCCAGTCATCTCCTCTGAGGAAGGACAAGTACCCAGCAGTCAGAACTACAGTTGAGATAGCATAAGGGCAACTGGATTTCCATGGGCCATAAATGAAACCCATGCTCTTTTGCCCTAGCTCTGTTAAGAATCTGCTTCTTAGTTCCGTATTTTCTAACTTTGGAAACATAAAGTGGATAAGCCGTGCATTCAATAAGGGTCTAGAAAGCAGCCAAAAGAAAGTTGGGAAAGATGAGTCCACCTGCTAATCACCACTGATTTCTACTTCTTATGAAAAGCCACCGAGTCCCCTCAGCCCTGTATTAAGCTTGACCACTAAGGCCTCAGTGCCTCTCACTGGAGCAGCCCAACCTCCCCGGCCTGTAGCACTGCTACAGGGGCTACAAGCAACACTAGCACAGACCGAGTCCCAAACTCATGGGAGGCCAATTCCATGCACCCTTTCTTGATATTCTTCAGTAGCAGTGGCACTCAGTCCCAGCAGTAACACCAAAATACATCCATAGGTTAAAATAATGATTAAAAATGGGATTAAAGTCATTCTTACACTCTCGGTGTTCAGCTTGGATTTTGGTAGTTCTTTTCCCAAAAGAAATTTGAAACACTTCAGCTCCTCGGTGGTGATATTTTCAAACAACTGAAAGAGCAGGTACCTAGAAAGGGAGTAGAGGAGACACAATTTCCTTTAGTGCAGTTTAACAGCATACTGTTGAACTGTGCTCTGCCCCCATCCTGAACAATATCTATAGACACGTTTTCCTTTTTTACCCATGGAACTTCAGTGCCAGGAGACACTCCAGAGTCAAACCATTTTTCAGATGTGATTAGCAAGACGTGCATTTTTCTAAGAACTGTGTTGAAACTCTCTGCAACTAAGAATAGCCACACTGCCATGACTAATAATAGCTCTTCACATCACTCAGTTCCTTAGGAGCAGCGAAATTTTTGCCAGCTATACAATCAATGCAGTGAGATGCAGGGTAGAGCTGGACTGCATCTACACTGGGAGAGAACATGTCTGAACAAGCTTGAATTGCTGTTTGCAAGCCACTGTGCAGAACCAAGGTAGAAGTGAAAAAGTATTTCACCAAAGTGCAGCTTTCTTTTCTCCCCTTTACAGAAATTTTACTAAATAATCCTTCACAGCTTGCACCTGCTTTCCCTCTGGAAAGTGTAGAAATCTGTGTGTGCTTCCCAGCTTAGCCTGGGGTTCAGGTCTGTGGTAAAACTTACACTAACTAATGAAAAAAGAAACTGTTCTGAGAGACAACTCCCAGGTAAGAGGCAGCCTGGCTGCTAGCGCCTGTGCAGCGCTCACACTCCTGCCCTCCCGGCTGCCGGGGGAAGCCACGGCCCCAGGTACTCACCTGAACGGAGACACCTTCGCCCTGCCCGGGATCTGAAGCTCCCTCTCCATCTCCTCCCGGCTGGAGCCCAGGTGGCAAACCAGGATGTCCATGCGATTGATCCGGTAGAACAGCTCCTTCAGGAAGGCCTGATCACTGTCGCTGATCAGGGCTTTCTCCTGCAGTGCTTGGAAGAAGGCCTTAGGCTCCTGGATGGCTTCCTGCTTCCTCAAAGGAATGTGCTCCAGGCTGAGGAACTTGAGAGCCGCCAGGTCATCTGTGGCCAGTGACTCGCTGATAACAAAGAGGCGCCTGGAGAATTCCATTGTCCCCCGCTGCCTCCGGGAGAGGTTTCAGGCCTAAGGAAGGAGAGACAGGCAACGTTTTTCCGGCTACCTCTGCACTTCCGCGCTCAGGAGGCGGCGCCGGAGCGCTGGGAGCTGCAGTTCCGCGCGCTGCCTCACAAGCAGGGAGGGACACACAAGCAGGGAGTCCCAGGAGGAGGACAGCAATGGACAGGCAGGTGGGAGCCACCAGGCTAACCCTTGGGGCTCTCTCTGGGACTGGCTGCTCTCCACGAACCCTGGTCCCTTCCTCCAGCTACACAGTTCACGTGGCTCCCGACAGCTCAAGTCTCCAGTGGCCTCTAACTCTCCATGATCAGGACAAAAACAAACCAAAACAAAGACCAACCAAAAACTGTCTGCCACCTGCGACTTCTTCCAGGCGTGGTTTAGGCCCTCCCAGTTTGCAGTTATGAATCACTGTGAAGTGAAAAGAGGTAGAAAATTCCTACTGCTTAGGTTTACACAACACTGCGAAGGACGTGGTTCTGTGGCTGCTGCTGATCAGATCAGAAACCGCCTCCAATGATGAGCTCGACGGAGTCCATTTCTTCTGAGAAAAAAAAATACCTGTGTAACCACAGGTCACTTCCTTCGGTTTGGCCGAGGAAGTCACTTTTTTTTTTTTTTTTCAAAATTCTTATTCAATTACCATGAAATAATATTACACCCCACTTTGCTGCAAAAAGGGGGCTAGTAGCAGAAGTGATACTTAAGTACCACGGTTGACTTCATACCACAAGCAAAGCGTGATGTGCTGCAGGTTTTTTGAAGTATGAACTGCACCCTGCTTTTCTGAACTCTTATCTTTTTGTTTCGAGTAATTCACACAACCTTTCACTGAGATCAGTAAGCGGAAACTAGTGGGGGAGGCAAATGAAGGCCTTTTAGCTGTATTTTGATATAGTTCATAAAAAAAGGAAAAAAAAGAGTTGAGACCATTTCAAAACTAATTGTTAGTGTGACGTTTTAAGGTTTGAGCAGACAAAACAAATTATCTCAAATCTTCATATCCAATCAAACTTAGAACAAATAAATAAAAGCTTTTCTTGGCCACATGCATCCCAAGGATATCTTTGACAGGAATGAAAGAATTACAAGTCCACTTGTGTAAACTAAATTTACTTCTGTAGGTATGAAGTCATTTTTCTGCTTACTTTTTTGCCGCAATCGCCTCTAGTTTATAGGTATTAAAAATTAATTCTCATTTTAATATAAGATAGAATCATTATGATTGGAAAAGACCTTCAAGATCACTCAGTTCATCCATAAACCCATCACCACTGTGTCCCTAAGCACCTCATCTACACGTTTCTTGAACGCTGCCAGGGACGGTGACCTCACCACTGTCCTGGAGAGCCTGTTCCAAGGCTTCATCACCCTCTCCATGTAGAAATTCTTACTAATACCTAACCTGAACCCCCCGTGTCACAATTTGAGGCCATTTCCTCTTGTCCTGTCAGTATTTATTCTGGAGAAGAGTCCGAGCCCTGCCTCGCTATAACCTCCTTTTGGGTAGTTGGAAAGAGTGATAAGGTCTCCCCTGAGCCTCCTCCAGACTAAATAACCCCAGCTGCCCCTCATAAAGGCTGCACTGCAGCCCCTCCATCAGCTTCGTTGCATTTCTTTGGACGTGTCAGAAGGCAAATTTTTTTGATTTCCTTATTGTGAACAGTCTGCAGGCTGTTGGTAGGAAATGCAGCACAGTTATGCCAGGTGTTTGATCCTGTACCCCAACAAGCACTGACTGTTGCATCGTCTCCTTCCCAATCCTCAAGATTTGCTCAAGAGCCTTTTAGCAGGATTGACTTTCTGAGCAGGGCAGCAGTGTGTGCCCATGGCACAGTTTCACCTCTGTTTTGCCATCCATGGGATTTCACTATGGGAGGGAGGAGATCATATTCCTACTCACAAGGAGTTTCAGCCTTCTGAAACCAAACATCAAAACATTAGTGCTCACTATGAGCAGGAGAGTCACCCTAACACTACCCATACTCCCCAAATAAACAGAGTGTTCTCACTGAGTGCCGTTAAAAACAGTCTCAGTTCCTCAAGAAACACAGCTTAGTATAGCAATATTATCAAGAGGACATATTTATACTGCTATCAGCAAAAATTGCTAAAAAAAAAAAATAACCTGACAGGTTAAAACAGCTCATGATTTAACTGGCCCCAAGAAATGTAGTTAAAACAAGCTTTTTTTCTAGTAATTAGTCTTGAAGGTGGTACGGCTGTGACATGGGCTGTATAAATCAGGCCTGAACATGAAGCAGTTACATAAACACAAAACCAGTGTAAAAGACACATATCAAGCTCAGAAGCAATGAGCAGAGTAACTTTCCACCTAGTCAGACCACAATACATTTTGCACCCATAACTGCTTGTCACCCCAGGGACCGGGAAATTCCTATGGCTGTCAATAATAGAACGGATAAAGTGATAAATAAAGGCATAAGTACAGAGAAAAAACACAGAAATGACTATATGGGACTTCCCAAAGAGCTAAACCACAGTTTTTTAATGCACTGAAGTCATTTCAGACTGAGCTCTCCGTTCAGATTTTGATACATCTCTTTCTCTCTAGCTGGAAAAAGATTGAGCTGAATAATTTCTGGTCACCATCTTAGTTAAGTCAAAAACAAACAGAAGAGTCATGCAAGGGCTAAGCATGGAACATTTCTCAAGAAAATCTAGCTTTCTGTTGAACAGCTACATCTAAACTGAGGGCATTTTGTTTCAACTCCTTCTCTGGGCTTCAAGACTTCTTGCAGAAGATCTTGCAGACCAGAGACACAAGCAACATTTTAATCAAAACTCTGCAGTTTTAGCTCAACTCTTCACCGATTTGAGAGTGAACCCTTATACAGGCAGTGAGAAACAGTGGGAAAAATCTTACGTATTTCAGTAGGCAGTGCACCGAGGGGAAGCAGGCAGCGTCCACAACACACGCAGGCTTCTCACACATGCCAGGGTCCCATCCTGTCAGCAGCTGATGAACAGCAGGTCTCAAAAGACCTTTCCGGTGGAGAGAGAGAGACAAACTCACCAGGGAAGGAAAACAGCTCTCCGGGAAACGGATGTTAAACTGCAAATGTGAGGGCAATGATGCAAATACCACCCCACTCCCCACCCCGGAAGCTTGCTTCTGCCTGTGCTGCAGTCCTCCCTAAAACTCTTGTGATCATCTTCCCCTTTCAAACAGCTTTACTTTCATCTTGTCTGATTTTCAATTTAAGTCTGTAGTTCTTTAACTCACGGGTCCTGCCAGCTTTCTGAATCCACTTTCTAGTGGTGCTTCTGCTGCTGGCTGCACACACACGCAGCCCTAAGCGTCAGCATCTTCTTACTATTGCATCTGGTCTTCCAGCCAGGAGTCAAAAGAAAAAAGCAAGACAGGCTGGATCACTGTAGGAAGAAGAGAGCCATAAAGCTGTAGAACCAGCGTCCTTCTTGCCTCTCCAGAGGGCCATAAATAGGTGCAGCACAGCGGACATGTGAATTCCCAGTACAGCCACTTCCTGCTGCTGCTTGTAGCCATCAGAATGTATCCTTGATGGGTGTTTTCAACATGCACGTGGTAACAGTGACATACAGGTCTTATCAGTAGCACAGTTTAAAGCCTGTCAGAATCAACACTCCTGATTTTTGTTGCTGTGTCAACAACAGCTGAATTGAGACTACAGGCCTGCTTCTCTGCCACCAGTTCTTGTCTATATGACCACGGTCACTATCTTTTCTCAATATCCTTCCAATATACATTAGCTCTCAACACATTCTCCACCTACTCACTTTTCTTGATCTTTCTCTGTCCTTCAAAAAACAATGCAATAGTCAGTGGCACAAGCCAATGTAAAAAAAAAAAAAAAAAAAAAAACTTTGCAAGAATGTTTTCTGTACAAGCTAGAAATGCCTTCCAAGACATTAATGAAATTAATGCATGTATTAACCTGGACACTTTTAGAGATCGACCACTCTACTACTTGCTCATTTGGACTTGCTTCTTTGTTGATAGCAACTCACAAGTTTGCCTGTGAGGCAACAGGCCATGGGCACAAGAGGAATACTGCATTAGAGTATTTTGATTGGGTTTTCTCTTTTAGTAGCTCTTCATGAGCAGGCAATAACATTGGCTGTGGAGATGAGTGGCCCTTTGATAGGTAGAACAAACTAACATTCAAGGTTGATGATGGGGACGGTAGCATGAGGAAAAAGAAATACTGCAGATGTACAAGTTCACTGCTACCAATGATGTTCTCTCCTAAGCTTAATGGAGTAGCTGTCATCTTTTAGCATGTCATCAGGCAGTTGCTTTAAGATATATTTCTGTACCATAAAGCAACTTTCACAAATCTAACTACTAACTTCATAGCAGGAACTCGTTTATGAAAACAAAAGGTGAATAAATTGATGCCAGATTAACCATGTTTCATTACACGGTTAAACAAATGTCAACCACAAAGCTGTACTGTAACTAACAACACCTACAGCAAACATGCCACAAACAGCACACTCATCTACACAGTGGTTTTAACTCCTGTAGGAAACCTGTATGAATAAAGCCCTAATTTTAAGAATGGACAATCTCCCTTTTACTTGGGAGGTGAAGAAGATAAGGGGAGGAAAACACAGCTTCCAATACATTTCTTGGAATTGCCTGAACATGCCTCAGTCCACTCGTCTGAGAGAGATATACCACAAACAAGGATGACATGGAAACCAGGAGTATTTATTACAAAGGGCCCAGGGGACTTGTAGTTAGTTGACAGGAGGGAGACATCTTAGAACTGTGGTTTTCTAAAGCAGTGATACATTCCTTCCCCATTTGACAGACTGCACAATACAGATTGCCCTCAAGGGCTCCAAGAAAAAAAAAATCATGAATAAAAAAACCCTTATAAATCTCACTGCTGTTTAGCTGAATTGATTAATAATATGAAACAAAGAAAACTGGAAGGAAAGAATCAGAGAAATGAAAACCATCATCACCATCACTGCCATCAACTCCTTCTGGTTCTTCTTAGCAGGGATATTATTTTTTCAAGAAGAATTCAGCTTCTAGATGGCTCATGATTATTCACTTCTGGTAAATCTGTTAAAATCTCACACACACCCCCTCCCGGGAAAGGAATTCTTGCACCTTGCATCTAATGGCAGTTTTCTTCAGATTTCACAGATGAATTCTCTGAAGTATTTTCACTGGCATTTCCAACAATGCTTAAGAACAACAATGCTTTGAAATGTTTCCTTACTTGAAACGAGGACTGTTTGATCCTCACAGCTTCTGCAAGACAGAAGGCAGCTCTGTCCTTCCCTTGTGGCCTATGACACTATGACAGATCCAGATACCAGGGGACTGAGTAACCATGGGAATCAGAAAATTGAGCATATGTGGGCCCTTGTAGGTCTGTAAATTAATTACATGGATTCAGACAATTTCTCTTGCAAATTCTCCTGAATTCCATCCACATTGAGGCCAATTCCAGAAGGATTCCTAATTGATGGTGTCTTTACTTTTTTGTACTTCTCAGTTGACTGAGACTATGGAAATTGCAAGATCACTTGTTTCCTTAGAGTTGATGATATTTTTGGCATCTGCTTCCATCCATTTAATACTCTGCTGGCCACTTTCTTGTTCACTTCTGTCAGGATGGCTACAATATCCCTGCGGCTTGAACAAAAAAAAAAAAAACAAAAGTACACTGAAATACACAGTACATTCAACTAGGTCAAGACATTGACCTAAGTTTTCTCCAATAACTTGAGATCTCAGGGAAAGCTGGCATCTTCCTGTCACCCTTCCTGTCACTGATATTGTGCACTTTATTGTGTAACCACAACACGCAGAACATACTGTGGAATAAAAGCAACCACTGTAGAATCACAAACACAGCCTTCTGCTTTGGCTATGGTCAGAAGGCAGCACTAAAATGACACAGGATCAAGTGTACGCATTTTCCAAGCCTCCTCCTTCTCTGGACTTGATGAGAAAGTGGTGTCTGCAGAGCAATCTTATTTTCTAAAACAAGTTTAGGAAGGGAGGATGAACGTGGGTGAGGCAACAGTGAATTTTACAAATAAAAATACATTTTTTTTTCCTGTGAGCTCAACCAACAAATTTGCCCGTCAACAGGTGTCACTGAAAGAAAGATCCTTTGTCATTTAAAGAAATGTTAGAAAGCATGTATATGCTTGATTTTGTGTACTACACACTTGTCATCTCTTTTACATGCTTTTTGTGCTTTTACACACTTGTTCATATGCAATTATATAAACACACACTTGTTTATATGTAATATTCCAGCATTACAACCCTGGTTCTGCAACAGACAAACTAGGGTAAGTTATTTGAACTTAGAAAAATAACAGTGCCCACTTCTGGAATAATTACTGATAAGACACTGCTCTGGCAGGTGAAAAGCATTATAAAGAGCAAATGCAAAACAGCCATGTTCCAGCTCAGCATGCTTACGTGTGTACATCAAAAGTATACCAGTTGTACCTGTGTTAAAAATTGTACTTACAGTGGGCAAAGCTGCTCCAACTTTTCACAGAGGCACTGGATGTAAACACTGCCAGTCTCCCTGCTGCGGTAAGATTCAAAGTCTTCCACGGTAGACAAGCCAAGCAAAATATCAGCTCGATCGGGTATGGAAGGCAGAGGGACAGCATCTGTCTCCAAAAAGACAGACCAGTCTTCTTCTAACATGACATGTGGATGACTTTCAGACCCTTGGCAAGCCTGGATGAAAAACAGCTTGGGTTTTCCAGCAAGAGAAGGACAGTTAGATCCACTAAAGCATAAGAGTATATCTTTAATATTTATACACTCTTCATCAGTGCCTTTTATTTTGTCCTTTTCACCATGAGAAAGGATGAAGCAAACAAAACAGTCCATATTGCTATGATCTTTCTTGCTGTATTCTTCAACTTTTGCATACAGTTGGTTTGCTTCTAGATCCATATACTCAACTGTCTCAAACTGAAGCCTGTTAAAGACCTCCTTCACTCTCTCTGGAAAAAGAAAGACAGAAGACACTTATTAACAGTGCTAAGGAAAATGAGGAAACTCTAGGTTCTGTGTGGCACAACAGATACTGTCAGAAGCGGTCAGATCCTACCAATAAGCTCACCTGCCTGACACTCAGCCTGGTAAGTCCTAAGAAAACCTTAGATGCCTGATTTTCTTTTTTTTCTTTTTCTCTTTTTTTTTTTTTACACAACAGAGTTAGACAGTCACACTAAAACAAACTGGATTTCAGATTATTTGATTAATCAATTCAATCTAGTGAAGCTTATTGTCTTCTGCAATGCAGTTAACTGTACACCGCATAGCAAACTCAGCTTAAGAACAGCATAGCAATCCCAGCTGCTTAAGAACAGCCCCTTAGAGAGCTAAAGAAGAGATATTCCTTTAGCATGAGAAATTATGTCATTCTGAAATGATGCTTTTTCTTTCAACCTTCCTTATCACCAAAATTATTGGAAGAAGTGGCTTATTTCCAGTCTTTGCAGTGACTCATTCCAGTCATTCTGGAGACTCCTTCTGGAGGCAAAGGAGCTTGTCCAAGCAGCTATTTTTCACAGGAAAGATTAGGTAGTTCTTTCAGAGGGAAACACAAAAAAAAAAACCCAGTAAGTTGGATTTAAATAGTACTTACCTCCATCTTTAATTGTTCCTTCCCTGTTTAAAATGGGATTTTTAAAAATGTAGTTGTTAAGAATCACACAGTAACCATGGGGGTTATTTTCCATCTTATAGGCTTCTGCAAACTGTAGTAACACAGAAAGCAGTAAGACAGCAGTGTCAAACATCCAAGCGGCGTGTGCTACACAGAGATCTTTTCTATGCCATGCCCAAACATGAAAAAAATAATGAGAGCCAAAATACAAGGGAAAACCCCAGAACACAAATGTGCCCTGGGTACGAAAGCATGCTGCTTCCTCTCCCTGAAATCCATTCTCCTCTCTTTGTGGCTGGGATATAATTTTGGAATGAAAAGCAAATATCCTGGCATGTGTGCAGAGGAAAGATTCCTGCACAGTATCATTCTCCCTGGATTTGCTGTGAGGCAGCAGATGCTACTGATCCCTCCCCATCTGTTCAGCTTGAGTTGGAAAAGGATGGGCTACTACTACCTTTGCCTGTCCCAGTCTTGATAATTTTTAAGATTGATTTCTTCCCATGATAGATACTCCTTTGTTTTTTATTGGCAAGGTTGCAACTGCCAGGTGCTTACCAAGGGAAAAGGCTTGGTCTTCTTTTGAAAATGGGAATTCTTCCAAAGCCGACATATAAAGCCATGTTCCCTCCCCTTCACCCTTTTCCCCCTCAGTTTTAGGTACTCATGCTCCCAGGAGCTGGCTGAACACTTTAAAGACAATCTTGATTATTTCTTACCAGGCATGCTCGTGTTCCCCCCACTGCTCCTTGTTCTGCTTGATTCACGAATGTACACATTTGAGAGCGGATTTGTTCTCCAGAAACATTCCCTAAGAGAAGGATAAACAGATCACTTTAGGAATAAATAATAAATCTGTCATTTAGCGTATTTCAGCACCAAAAGGACAACCAAGCAGTGAGCTAGTGTGTGGTTTCCATACTATCAAAACACCACCATTTCGGAGAGGTTGTATCAAGCAAGGTTCCAGTTTTGCAGACATCTTGCTGCAGAGTGAAACTGCAGAACGATGCAATAAAAAATACATTTGTGCTAGACTGCTAAACCTCTGGACAAACACTGCCAAGATTGCAGTCCCTAATTAGGAAGAAGTGAATTTTGTCTCTCAGACACAACGGGAGGTTTGAAACTGGAAGACATGCCCTACATTCCCACAGAATCAAACCTCGCTACAGCCCTTCCCTGCCCTTTGGCTGGCAGGGAGATGCAGGCAGTCTGAGTCTGGATACGAGTGCTCACGCCAGGCAGGCCATTCACTCGCATCTCCACTAGGGGACGGAGAAGTGACAGAGAAGCCCCATTTTTGTACAGTGACTACTACCCTCAGCCTATCCACTTCTGAGGCCATCACCTCTTTTCCAAAGTCTTGTCTTCAGAAACTCTTCCTTCCGCAAAAGCAAGCAGCCTGGCTAACAGCAAGTAAGGCTGACAACCTCCCAGCACAAGGCTAGCTTCCCTAGGCATTGTCTGTCACTTCTATTCTCCTTCAGTGACTGAAAAGCTGAATTGGTCCAAAATCAGCACTGCACTCTTTGTTATGGAAGAAGACTGCTTTAAAGGCAAGGAGGAAGATCCAAATTATTTACACAGCACAGAATACAATCCAGGGAGAGGTACAAGAAGATATGATGGGATGGTGAAGTAGCAGAAAACTTAGAACATCACAGGTACTAAAAACCACTATACCTATCCTAGGACAGTATAAAGCATCTCTCTTAATTCTAGACTCCTCAACTCCGAAGAATAGAGCTGAGAAATGACAAAATTTAGGCCTAGGCTAAATTAGCTGATTATATAATTTACCTTTTGTTTTTAATTCATAGATACCAATTTTTTTCTTCAGATCAGCTCTAAATCCCTTTAATATATCCTTCAGCACTGTCACATCATCTTCTGTAATTACGTGATTTCTTTCCATTTCCATGAAGACCATCAACATTGACTAGAAAAGGAAAAACAAATAATCCAAATTCATACATGACCTTCAGTGACTTCATCAATTAACATTCAAAATATCTGGCACTTCTGGACAGAGCAGGAGACAACATCCTCATTCTAAAAGACTGGTCAGGTAAAAACTGCTTTCTTTTTCCTTCAGACCTCTTTAGAAATGGATCAGGATGCTGTATGACTGAAGAAACATATCAGTAAGGTAAGACAGGATCTTTAGAAGTTGCCTTTGCCTGAGTTATCCTGATTTCTTTCAGCAGTGCAAAACAGTTACGTGGAAACTAATGTGGCAATCCTTTTAAGTGACACTACATTCAGATTAATTACTATAAGCCATTTAGCTGAAATGTTACATATTTTCTAATACAAAAGAGGCCTTCAGAAAAAAAAATAAACCTGATTAGTCCATGAAATTGGAAGTAAATCTGCCTATTTTCCTGCAGGCACCACAACACCATTAGGAGTGACAAATCAGAAGCTTAACAATATCAAGCATTTTATAACACTGTTCGTTATTTACAATGCAGCTATTCAGCTTGCTTACCAAACCTCTTAGTGCTTTTGAGAAGAAGTTAGGAAATGTGCTGCTATCCTTTACAATAAAGAAATATACCAATGAACATAGGGAAAAAATGTGATGGAGCTCAGGTTAGACTCTAAAAGCCTTTTTTTTTTTTTTTTTTTTTTAACACTCCAGTATCCATCACTCCTCCTGAATATAGCAATATAGCATATGGACAAATGCTTCTAAAAATGCCAGTGAAAGACAAAAGAGAGTGGGGAGACAGAGATGGGGTGCAGAAAAAATAAGAACAGGAGAGGGCAGAGAAAAGACAAAACAAAAAAGGTTTTATTCTGTCACAGAAGAGTTGTCAACTAACATAATTCTTTGAAAAAAGGATATTTTTTCAAGAACAAATTTCTTTCTCTTTCCTCCCTCCTTACAAGGGGCAGATTCTGAACTAGCCTTGCATGGAAATTATCAAGACCACAATGCCTACAGCATCTTCCTGGAGCTTGCTCTTTGGTAATTGTTTTTGCAACAGGAATTTCACACTGTTGACATCGTCTGGAGTTAAGTCTTCTGCAATCTCATATAGCAGTTGTCTGGCAAAAGAAATATAAAGACTTTTTAAGAAAGTTCTGACAATTAACTAAAGGATATGAGACAAGCCCTTCTCATCTCCCCCTCCCAAAAACCCACAAATATCTGAAATCCTTACGGTAACAGCTCCAGTCATTATGCAGAGCATCCATTAATATACTGAGGTCATTCAAAAAGAGCAGTGAGTGTAGTTAAAAGTCACATTGTCACAGTTTTACAGAAACTTTAAGGAAAGACTGAGTTTCACTCTGTGGTTCCAGTTATTATGTAAGCCAAATACAGACAACCTTTCTAACACTAATAAACTCAGGGGAAGGGGGGAACACTTTCTTCCCAAAACAAGAAAATCAAAGAAACTCTGTCTCAGAAACACCCCAGCTTGAACTGAAGAAATGTAGAACCTGGTCTTAAAACTCACAAGGGTAGATAGTTGTGCTGTAATACACTTAAACTGGGATATGCCTAAGATGACAGTGGAGACAGAAGACAAGGACGGCACACAGTAGAACTCTTCTGCTTGAACCTTTTCCATGCAAAGATTTAACTACTGCTGTGCTTACCTGTATGGAGATACCTTCACCCTGCCTGGGATCTGAAGCTCCCTCTCCATCTCTTCCAGGCTGGAGCCCAGGTGGGAAACCAGGATGTCTATGCGATTGATCCGGTAGAGCAGCTCCTTCAGGAAGGCCTGATCACTGTCGCTTATCAGGCCTTTCTCCTGCAGTGCTTGGAAGAAGGCCTTGGGCTCCCGGATGGCTTCCTGCTTCTTGAAGGGGATGTACTCCAGGCTGAGGAACTTGAGGGCCGCCAGGTCATCTGTGGCCAGTGACTCAGAAATGTCAAAAAGGAGCTTGTTGATATACGTACTCATTTTACATCAGGACTTGGATCTAAACAGACAGAAGTTGATCAATTTGTCAGTCACTAGTGAAAAAATATGTTTACAAAGGTATCACATTATGTAGAATTGCCCCAAATAAATATATGCAGTCAAAAATACTTCAATAGAAAGAAGATAATCTGCTGTGATAGTTTAGATGCTTTGCTCCATCAGTTCATCAGACTCACGGTGAGCACAAGAAACTCTTTACACAAGTGTAAAGAAAGTAAATAAGGGACAGAGAAAGTTTCAGATTGTTCTTGCTTTCTATGGTGTGTGCAAACAGTAGGGTGTCAGATGCACAGGGTGTGCAGTCCTGGCAGGTTGCAGGTGGCTCCACCTACCTGACCTCACTTCCCTAGCACCGTTTTTTGAAGTTTGATCCAATTTGGGAGCAGGAGACACCTACAGACTCTGAAGTATTATACTGGCTGTATAGTTAACATGACACCCAGGTTTTGCATCATACCAAACACAAGGTTCTACATTAGCACACCTTTTCTTAAACTACATGGCTTCTGCTTTCTATACTTCATGCTTCTGACACAAGCCAATGTAACCAATGCACGTCTTTTATTTTGGTTTGTTGCATCAAGTACAACCCAGTTGCCAGCTCTCAAATGAGTAATTACTTGCTTGTAATTACTACAGTCAAACACAGATTGTGCCAACCCTTCAAAAAATGCCAGGATTCTTGTCAGGCCACTTCCTTTTCACTGAGCATAGAATACATCGCTTTTCACTACACCCTCCATCAACACTTTAAATCTTGACTTTGGCATATGTGCTCATCCCTCAAGCGTAAGAGAAAGTTTTAAAATATGAAGTGCAATCCTTCCATGTTAACTCACCCTGACACTGAGCCTGCCTCCACTGTAGGAGACTCAGTTGGTGTTTTGATCTCTCTGCTTCAGAGCAAAGATGCCCAGGAATCCCTGAAATGAAACTGTCTAGGGATGTAGTTGGTGGAGGTCTCCTGTCTCACTTAATTCACTGTAAGCCTGAAAAGTTAAGAACAAATGAAGTCATGAAAGCAAATCCTCCTACATCAGCAGGATATTAGATGATCTGTTTTACTGTTATTGATTCTGCAAGTGGATTAATACTAGAGCTAAAAATTCCAAAACAGCCCAGCAGATTGTTGAATAAAGCAGTATTACTGTAAATACTCCAGACACTTGGAGGCACTTGTCCCATTCCCTTTCCAAGAAACACGTGGTAGCAGAGCACCCCTTGGAAGACCCGCTTCTAGTCAGTGTTTGCAGCAAGCAGGAGCGAACAGAAACACACCCTGGTGCAGCCAGAAACAAATCCAAACAGCTTAAACAGTCTTCGTGATGCAGCATGTATGACTTAAGCTCTGACCCCTGTATTGCTTCCTGTAAATCCGCTAAAAATTAACTTTCGAACAGATAACCATCTGTATGGTTCAGCTGAGACTAACACAAGACCGAGTATCGTAATATGAACCATATCCACTTAGTCTCATAATTCAATAATCTCAGGTATCTGGATATATGTTTTTATATCCAGAGAAAGGATACTTCCTTTGTAGCTACTTAAGAAGTTACCATCTTTCCCATATATATCATGCCTTCGGCTAAGGATACAAGGCATGTGCTCATGACAGTAAAGCTTGCTGGTACAAGAAATTTTCTTTCTCACTTCTCCAAAGCTCTCCGTTTCAAAAACACAAATTATTAAAATTAAAACAGATGTGCCATGTACACACTGTATTTAAGCCTCTCTGTTAATATAGGGAGTACGCTAAAACAACTTATTCTAACACTTTAAACAAACATTCAATGAAAATATAACTGCAATAAATAATACCACAGTAAAAAGAATTCATTTTACTTCACTTACATGGAAAGACAAGCTGAAGGACTGCTGAAATTCCTCCGAAAAAAAGTGAAAGAACAGACAGCCTGGAGCGCTGAAGTTCAGGAAAAGTTCTGGCCTTTCCTGCCCCGCCTGCCTGTCACATGACTTCAAACACATATATGCCAAGCAATAAGCGGAGATGGTAAGGTTCCCTGCAAGTTTCAACAAATGAATTAATACAACACTTAGGAGAAAAAAGGGCTAAACAGTGCTCTGTCCCATGATTTCACTGGATCTTCTACATCCTCCTTTCTCCGAAATCCTTCTCCAACACACCCAGCTCATTTCTAACATGCATTTTTAAAGAAACTTTTTTCCAAAATGGAAAAGAAATGAATTATCAGTAGTCAGAAATACAAGGAACTGAGAGTTTAAACCTTGCGTTATAATTATTTACTTCATATACTTCCCTTTTTACAAAAGAATTTAAGCAATATTTAACAGTTGACATCTTTAGACACTTCAAAGCACGGAACTCTGCCTTCAGTGGGAAGATACCCGCTATGATCTGCTTGTCACTGATAACTGTTCCTGCAACAGGAAACATATGCAGTTATCAGTACACCTAGGAGACCTCTACGTGTCTGAAGCTCATTAAATCAGTATTATGAAGAGATAGGAGAACTGAAATCTTACTGATAATTTGCAATAAAAACAATCTTTCACTGACTTCAACCTACCTTTTTAAGCTCAAAATGACCACACACCCTCTGATACAATAAGGCATCTACAATAAAGCCTGCAGATACACGCTCTGTCTTCATAATAACAGCTCGGAAACGGCATTTGACTTGTTTTCACCAATATAACTCCTGTTATCCAAAGGCAACAAACAGCATAGAGAGATACCACAAGCATCCCTATCTGGTACCCAGAACAGAAAAATTCTGTCTCCATGTCAGCCCATACCTCAGCATCTCTTTCCCTTTACCAGTTCCTCTGTGTCTCAACCAAAATCAAGATTCCAGTGGCAACTTGGAAGAGGAAACACACAGGTGAGTGTTTCAGCACTGTGTCAGAACTGCTTACAGACAGCAAGGACCTAAAGTTGGCCCTTTAAGCCTGCTGGCTTCTCCCAACACAAGACCAGCTCTAAAGACCAGCCCTCCCAGCACAGTTCTTCCTCTTTTCTCTGTTAATCTTGTTTCTTCCCCTTTTGTCCTTCTCTGAAATGTTCCTGTTTGTTAATTTGGCTATCTCCAGTTCTTATTCTCCTTCACCCAGGTTTTGTTCTGGCTTCCCCTAAAACCTTCTCAGTCACCCACACAATTCTTTGTGAGAAGCCTGCAAATAGTTCTCACTCAGAAAGGACACGCCCTGGAAAGGGAAAATTCTTGAAGCTGGTTACTATTCTGCAGCCAGTGTAACTGTTTGTGCAGGATGTTTGTATCCTGCACAAAAAATATTGGCAGGCAGGAGGGACATCAGACATTTAGTGAACAATGCAAATCCTGCTTTAAGCTCACAATCTACTCGAGATAAAACTTCCCTAACAGGAAGGCACTTTTTACCTGTTTGCACTTAACTCTGTCTGAACAGGAGTTGCACAAGTGCTAATCATTCTTTAGCAGTGCAGCTAGAGCACCTGCATATGCACATGTGCCTCTGTATGCCACCAATAAAACTTGAAACCAAACATAATTTTTTGACTTTAGGCTGATTCCTTTCTGTCACAGCTCATTGTTACTACATTGTTACAACATTACTATTTACATGGAAGGAGTGCAACAAGCAGTGATAAATCTTCAAGCTGGGTAAAACCCACTGTGTTCCCTCACAACTGCTATCCTACCATACACCACAGGAGGTCAACACAATACATCCAAGCACAGACCAATATCCGGACGCGCAGTAATACAGAGCAAACAAGCGCTAAGGAAAACAAAGCTTGTGATGCACTCAAGAAAGATATTGATACTGATGGGTATAAATCACAATAGTGTAACCTTTGTTTGAGCAAGGCATTTAGAAATGAGGGAGATTTCACTATTCCAAGGCATAGCCCCTCTCCCGGGGAACTCAAGACTTCAGTCTTCAGTGTAGATTCTACTAACTGCAGAACAGTGTATCTTCAGTGTAGATTCTACTAACTGCTATTATCGAGTTTTACCATTTGAGACCACTCAAGCACTTAGAAATGAAGCCAGGATCCCCCCCAAAACAATGTGAAAATTTTTGCCCATGTTTACTCCATACTAAAACTACAACTATTACCTGAATGTAACTGCAAGCTACATGCTTGACAATTCTAATATGGAATGTATTCTACTAACAAACCCAATAGATTTTCTAACAGATTCACATAGCCCATCACTGACGGGGGACAGTAAACAAGAATAAAACTTAGCCCAGTGTATCATTTTTATATCCCAGACTTTATAAAAGAAGTATAAATTTAATTCAGTAACAAACATGAAGGACACAGACACACACAGTATAGGCAAATATTCATAACAAAACATGGCATAATTTCAGTTAAACTCAAATGTGAGTTTATCAGAACCTTGCTCAACAAGGACCAATTTCTCCCACATTATTTTCATCCTTCTTATTTTACATCTTAAAACAAGAATTGATTTATCACAACATTTAATGCTTAGTAATCAATCTGATAATCAAAGCAGATACACAGAGTATTGTGTTTCACAGTGAAAAACCCTTCTACCTTTTCTTCCCAAAAATTATGAGGATGATAGCCAGCAAGGTTTCTTGCAGTGCATTTTTTTTTCAGTTTTGGAAAGAATCTCATTGCAAATGAGGTAAATGAAAGCTGTAAGAAGACAAGTGTGCCTTATGGAAATAAGTAGTAATTTCAATAGTCAGCTGATTCTCCATACACTTAAAAATAAGTTGTTACAGATGGAAGAAATCTTTTTTCACCTAATACTTAAGCTTTCTCCCTTACCTTTGTCTTTTTTCCCTACACGAGTCCTCCATAGAGGTAGTGGTTCAGAGGCAAAATTCAGGATTTTTAGCAAGCAAGCAATGAGGCTAAACCAGAATGTTAATATTCTGGTTTAGCCTCATTGCTTGCTTGCTAAAAATCCTGAATATTAACATTCTGGTTTAGATATATAAGGCTACATGCAATCCTTAGGCTGACACAAAAATACTTTACATACCTATAGCCTTCAAAAGTACAAAGAACATTTAACATGAAAGAAGCATACTTCTGCAAGTAGCTATCCCAATCCTAATTACTTGAAAAATAGAATTTGAACAGTTGGCACACAGATTGTGTTAACTACGTCTCCTTAGAGTTCATATTTTCTTCGTCAAAAAATGGGAAGTTTTTGCCTCAAAGCACAACAGCCTCAGGAGTCTGGGTAATGGACTTAACCAGTTAGTGTGGAGAACTGCATTTAGATGAAATGTGCTCATGACAGTATTCAGGAAGCTTCAGTGTTGCTGTGAGGGAGGAGGGTCTCTAGGCACTGGGAATATAAATTTTTTTCTTAAAGTGTAAGCTGGTTGGGGCATCTGCTTCTTTTTCCCCAAGCTGTCAGCACGCCTGCTTACATCTTCATTAACTTCTGTAAGAATAGACAAAATATCTTCACCCCTGCAGAGAGAAAGTGAGCAAACAGAAAAATGGATTTATTAATGACCAAGTGGCACTGTCGCTCTGTAACACGATGTTTAGGAGATATAGTCTAGACATTTAAAACACAGAAGAAAGAAAATCTGCACTTTTCTCAGAAATTCTCTTGTGTTCTTATTTAGGTCATATTAAAAACAAGAGGCCTTTTCTTACTTTGCATTGCTTGAGTCCATCAGTAGGAAAAACGACAAAGTATTTTTTACTTAAACTCACTCAAGAAACAGATGGATCTGTCTAATAGACAGAGGGGAGATTTAGAGATTCAGAGTTTTTAAATTAAAATTTACATTCTCCAGACTAGCCCTAGCTAGTGCTAGCAGTGTTACCATAAATTTACCAGAGTCAGGCAGGCACATCATCTATTTAACTAAGTTTGTCCAACTCAAAGCATGCATTAACTTTCTTATTTGAATTTAACTTTGAATTAAAAAAACACAGAGTGGGGGGAAAAGGGAAGTTATTCCCATTTCTTCAATGATCAGCTAAATAAACTAGTAAAGTTACCTGGGTACCAACAGCTGTAGCTTGCTGCACAGAGCCTGAATATACCAAGTGCCCTGCTCAACATGCCTGAACGAGGCATAACCATCAATTGTGGCCATGCCCAGGAGGAAATCAGCTTCTTCTGGAATACTTTCAAAAGGAGAAATTTTCTGTTGCACAGAAGGCAATTTAGGAACTTGCGCATCAGGTTCAACATAGACAGGACACTGTATCTTTTGGCCTTGGCATGCCTGAATAAAGAAGAGTTTGGGTTTCTCAGCAAGCGCTGGACATTGTTTGGCAGTGAAGTAGGACATGATCGTGCGGATTGATATAAGCTCCCCATCTTTCCCATAGATTGCTCCCGACTCTCCATGAGATAGAATACAACAGATAAAACAGTCCCTGTTTATGTGTTTTTCTGAATCCTGCCAGATCTCCATGAGATCTTTAATTTCCTTAGCTGTTTGGTCTTTGTAAATCTCCACCTCTAGACCAAGCCATGTGAATACTTGCTTCAGCTCCCCTGTAGTTAAAAGAAAGATAAAAAGAGAAATAGAGCATTAAAAAAAAACCCATTTTATGAAGTCACCATGTAAGCAAATCTGAAGTGTAGAAGAGCCTCCCATCCTCGTGCCTCTGCAGATTCATGAGTATCAACTAGAGGGTAGCTGGTATAAAGACGGAATCATCTTCAATACAGAGTCTTGGGATTTTTCTCGGTGTTTCAGAGAATAGGACCTAAGGCACCTCCATAAGTCTGTGACAGATGCAATATGAAAAATGACACTCTAAGTGAGCTCATGACTACTGGAAAAATGAGGAATCTTCCCAAAGTTCAGGCTGGATTTCTTTCATAAATCTTTCTCAGGTCATTATTTTCCAACTGCAATTATGACTGCTACAGTTTCATAAGCAAGACAGAAAGATCAAAACTAATGAATGAAGAAGTATACACAGAATTGCAATTGGCAATTGCATAGACAATTCTGGATCACATTATGTAAAATGGTTGCTTAGTTTTATTTCTTTATTACAGCTCTAGATCTAGACTACATGAATAAAGAGATTCTTAAAATGATTCAATGATTCTTAAAATGATTCATGAATGATCCCACTGCATGGCAAGTTAAGGCCTTTTAGTCTTTCCCCTTCTAGAATATACAAGTGACATAATTTAACAAAGACCAAAAACGTGGCTGTTTAAAAGCATGAACTAAAATACGGACAATAAGGCAAAGAGAGAATGAATTCCTGAAGGGAAAACAGAGACTAACTAAAAAAAAAACTTGCTGTAGAAACTTACCAGCATCTTTGCAAGAACCCTTCCTCTCCCCAAGATAGCCATCAAATTTAACATTATTAATAACAAGACAAAATCCTCTCTTTGGTCCATCCATTTTGTAGCTTGTCAACTTCTGTAGAAATGAAAAAGGAAAAAAGCTTATAGTTTCAATGAATATATTAAAAAGTCAAGAAGTGATAAATGGCTGATCTCCAGTACTCATATTACCTTAACATGTCTTAAAATGGGCATACAAAATAACAGACAATCAAAAACAAAGGTTTGCTAAGACTCTCCTGCACCTCAGTAAAGGTATTTTAAAATCTGAGAAGTCAAATCCAATGTCAGGTTAACAGCATCAAGTCTATTCTAATACCAGACACTTAAGCTCCTCTCTGGTTACAAGAGAGAGCAACAAAGAAACACCTAATTTGTGCATTTTAGTGAAACCAAATAAAGGACAGCCTTCTACATTCCTTCAGCAGCAGCAAACAATACTTCTGCTACAGCTGCTTAGGCATCAGTAAAAATGTGTGGACTCGGCTTCAAAGAAGCAATCACACAATAGGGAGCTGCTTCTGAACCAAGACCTCTGGATTATTATGATAGTCATGTCTGCAGTATCTTACTGAACACACTTGCCTTCTTTAGCCTATGCTAAAGCAACTTCCTTAAAAGGTCTCCTGATGCTACTGATTAACTTTTTTTTTTTAATATTGTTATTATTATTATTTTAGTTAAGGATACACTAAAGCTTTTTCTAAGTCAGATATAGAGAGTGAAAACTGCTAAGCTACTGCGCCCACCTGCACATTCTGCTGCCATGTCCCAAACATGCAACTGAAGATATTACCAAATGATTTGCCTGCTTCAGGAAGATAAGCAGATGCACTGCCATGGGAGTAGTATGATAAGTATAATGCCCATTTCCCCTCCTCCATGCCTATCAATATAAGTTTCTGGACTGCAAGATGAAAATACGCTCTGAAATGTTCCAATTGATCTGACAACTCCAAAAAAAAAAAAAAAAAAAAAAAAAAAAAAAAAAAAAAAAGTGAAGCACAAATATCTCACAAATCCTTGCATGATAAATGTCATTAAAGGGATGAAGATTCCACACTCTCGGTTATTCAAAAAGCATGAGATTGTCTCTAACCTTGGATTCATTTTTTGCACTGATGAACTCTGCGGGGAGCTCCAGGTTCAGGTTTACTTCAGAGATGCCTTGTACAACATTACCTGCTTTGTCATCTAGGAAAAAGACAGCATAGGTATTTATGATGAGCAACTAATACCGGTGGATGCAGCAAAGAGTTCACTACAGTGCAGCACTTTATTTTAAAAACTATTACATGAAAAGCATAACTCTTCTGTATGAGATAGCACCGTCCAGTTCAAAGGATCTATTCAGGCCATGCCTCTAATAATTTTTGGTGTGTATTTCTGTGACAAAAGCAAGGTGTCTATTCATATGGGTTTGGTGAAACAGATATCTTTGGTATCAGGATAGATTCTACCTGAGACAGTCAAATGAATTTTTTAATTGGAAATGAGCACGAAAATCGAATGTAATCTAAGAAGGATCTGTGATGTCACTACTGAATGTCCCATTAAATAATCTTCTTTTGGTCCTGAATCATTTACAAAACCTCAGACAAACTTTCAAAATATGGCACTGATGGATTTCTGAAGTTGAACAGAGCTAATGTTGTGTGGCTGCACTTTGCAGGTGTCCCATATGATGTACAGTCACAGAGGCAGATGCAGAAAAATCTGCTGCCACTTGTTTTGCAGTTGAGATATGAACCAAAAAAATTTTTTTTTCATTAGTGAAGGAAACATTTTGCCTTCTGATAATTGTAAAGCTTTTGCTTTCTTCTGTACAAATCATTCACTATTTAATGTATTCAAAATACCAACACCTGAAAACTCTCTTAGATGGTAATTCTGGAAGATCCTTGGATGCCTTGGAAGATCAGACATAGGTCTTCATGATGTCTGTTCTTACATAAAGAGACAGGAAGCCTCCTGCTTTCAAAGCTTTTTCTCATTTCCCCTCTTTAATGGTCCCTTGCAAAAAGGTCTCTAGGAACTGACTGGGCCCCTTAAGTAACATATTAGACTGAAGGCAGTTGGAGATAAAAACATTTAATACTAAAATCTTTAAGAGAAAACAAACCTTGTCTGGTAGGTAAGGAGTGCACATTCCCAACATGCTCCCATAGGCTCCTAGACTCTTCACCATAATGACCTACACAGCAAAACAAGTCACAGTTAAAATGCTTTTCTGCACACACGAAAATGACAGCTGAGGTTTTGAAATAGTCACAGTGCCCCGGTCTCTTACCTCCTCCCTCCAGAGATATTCGAAGAGAAAAATTACTTTTCATTCACAGGAAAGAAAACAGTTTTTTGCTTCTAATCAGACCAGCTCTCATTTCAGTTCCCAAAAAAACATCATTTAGTTTCTAGGTAATCACTAACAAAGTACACAGGATTTGTCAATTGTATTTTTTCTCTTTGATATAGGAATAAGTATCTTTCAAAGCAATTTCTACAGAAAGTGAAAGATCCTTCCAAGAAGACTTCAAGGTAACTTTGTTACCTTATTACATTAAATGTCAGAAATTTCGCAGAGTAAGTCAAATTAGAAATGGGTAGCATGAAGCATAGAGGTCTATAAAAAACAAAGACACACTTTCCAGAAAGCCTTACCATTTATTTTAGAACTCACAGATTTGATAGATGTCTCCTATTTTTCGAGTGAGGGAAAAAAAAAAAATCCATGCTAAAAATCACTGTGATTTTTTTCATAACAATAAGCAAAACAAAGTTACTAAATACATAGCTGCTGGAGCAGTGGGAGGAAAATCACTGGGTTTTTAGTATAGCAAAGCATATAATAGCGAACTACAAAACACTTCCCCACTTAAAGCATATCGTACGGAGCTGGAAACAACTACACTTTCTCTTAAGGAGAAATGAAAATAATAAAGAATTTTCTTACACTTCCAAATGATCCTTTCACTACAAGGGATGGAGAGTCACTATATACAAAAGTGCAATATAGTCCAGTATCAGTTCATTTGGATGATCAATTATTTGATTCTAACTCATTGTACCTATCTAGTCTTGCCTAGGTGACCTCAGTCAGCACTAAGTGTCAATGGTTTATTACACAGAATGCAAAAAGCAGGTAATTTTTCATTTTCATCATTTTTCATCTCTCAGGAAAATCAAACAGGATTGTGGAAACAGGTGTGGGTATGGGGTTGTTTTTTGTTTTTTAAGAAACAATCTATGTTTTTCTTAATACAAGTGCATTCATTCTCTACCATGTCAAGTGCCAAATCCTCTATACATATAGAGCAAGTATAGCTTAAGCAGCAATAATACAAGCCCCTTCTGATACTAAAGGGCCCATTTTCCTCAGTTTTTGTCTACTAGGACTGTACTTCTGAAAACTATCTTAAGGAAGACCACTGGCTTTACACATTTAGAAATTATATGGATTAAAACTCTCTCCCTTACTCTCCTTTTCCTTTTTTAAAAAGAAAAAAAAAAAAAGAAGGAGGATATAGACCATATAAATTCCCCAATCTGACTCATCACGCAGCTAAAGGAAGACCCACGATCAAGGGCTGGGCAAAGTGAGATCACTTCCTTTAGCAGCAGCAGTTTAAACTGACCTTTAAACTATTGTTTAGATCATCTGAAACTGTGAGAATCAGCACCAGCTGACTGACTCACTCTCTAAAATGCACCTTTCTAGTCTTCTCTCTTCTCTTCCTAATGCAACTTATTTTGCCAATTGCACATGACCAACAGGGATATTTTTTACTTTCATTATTAAATGTTGATGTATTTCATACAAGCTGAAAAAAATATGTTTGCTCTCTTCCTAAATCAGCTCAGAAGATTTAGCAAAAGATCTCACAGTGTAATTTCAAAACAAAGGTACTAAAATAAAATGAAATCCCCAAACTACTAAAACTCAAGAAGGCAGCAGGCACTCCAGTGTACCTGGGGGGAACTGAACACTTTGGTACCTCCAGGCTGTGCAGATTCCTTGATTGGCAGAGTGTTCTCTTGCCGAGGTAGAGATACTAAGAGCAGAAAGAGATAATAAATGAGAGAAGCCAAAAGTTTCTAGGTTAAACATATATGAATTTGCACATTAAGGCAAACATGGCTCTATACTTAGAAATGCATTAAAAGAGAAAGCCACTTTGAAACACACTCAGGAAGTAAGCCCTTCTCCTGGCTGGAAAAAGTAGTAGCATTGCATTTCCCAGAATTGGTTTCCCAGTGATTAAGTAAACGAAACTAAAACTTTTTCCCAGTATGCTTATAATTTCTCCACAGGACGTTATATGAAGTTAGTTTACAAATTACATCTAACCTCATAGAAAGTGAACCATGTTTTTAATAACAAAGCTTATCATATACATATGCACATATAACTTGCACTGCTAACTGATTAGCAGATACAACTCCCCCCAGAAGCTTAGTATACAGGACTATACATCTGTAAATCACAAAGTGTATTTTACAGTATAGTTGTACATCCTTAGGGGAAATCAGCTGGGAGGCAATGCAAACTGAAGAGAGCTCTGATAAATCTGTGTGTTTAAACCTGTTCGAGTGAGTCTACTCTACCTTTTGCTGCCACAGTGCATCACTGGACCACCAGGTGCCAATTCCAGTTGCCCAGACCCTTCCCTTAAGCAGGAAGCTCTCACTTTGGAATTCTCACCTTTTTCCCTTTTATAGCTGTTTACTGTTTCTAGGAGATCAGGTGAAACACTCGTACAGATTTCCTCCAGCATTTTTACATTGCTTTCAGTTAAAAGGCCCTGTTTTTCCAATAAAATGAGCAACTTCAAAGCAGACTGACAGCAAAAAAAAAAAAAAAAAAAAAAAAGAGAGAGAGAATAAAATGCACTTATTATTTCTCAGAACTTAAACCAATGGCCTCAGCCTTCTCTCCCTCACATTATTACATTATCATCTGCTTTGTTTCTTGCCAATGAGTTCTGAACAGTCAATTTTATATCACTGGGTGCAGGGGAAATGTGTTGCACCACAGAAAGCCACTGATAGAATTATAAATCGGTATGTTCTTACTTCAAAGATTTGCTCAAACCAGATTAATGAATCTGGACCCTGAGAAGGCTTTATTGCTGTGAAATATTACAAAATACACGTTTGTTTATGGCTCAAGCAGGATAAAGAAAGAATGAGATATCATCCTGTTATGATCTAAGGCAAGACAGTAGAGCACCCATGACTGTTCTTAAAACAAAGCAGCACTAAATTCCACTCTAACTCGGCTATGAGGATTTTTTTCTCCATGCTCTTCCTCAACACCATTCTTCCTCCCCTTTTATTTACACAATTGTCCTTTTCCCTACATACAAAAATTGGCTGTCGTTTCGGCAGGTGGTCCCTCAGGAGGAAAATGATTTCCTTCAACATGTCGCTGGTAATGTTTTCTGCCAATTCATACAGCATCTGCCTGTAACAGAGACCCAGTGAGATCAAAACAGAAAACAGTGTAGAAGCACAAGGTCATTTGAGAATTAAAAAAAAAAAATATGGAAAGGGATGTAGTAGGTAGCTGAGCAGCAATTGGGCTAGCAGAATCCTATTAAAAGCTCACCTGTAAGGAGATACTCTCCCCTTCTCTGGTAGATATTCTTGCACTCTCTCCTTGGTATAGTTAAGTTTTTGGAGCAAAAAGTGACATTTAATTCGGTATAAAAGTTCAGCTAATAGAAAAGTATCTTCCTCATTCAAATACTCTTCAGCCATAAGAAGCTGAAAAATGTCCAGTGCTGACTGTGCACTTTCCAATTTTTTGAAGGGAATCAGGTCAAGACAGAGAAATTTTAAAGCTGCTACATCTTCGGTCCCCAAGTTATCATCAATGAGTAGAAGCTTCTGACGAAAATTCAAACTGATGTCATCCCCCATGTTGCTGAGAGAGAACTCTGCCTGGAAGCAAAAAGCAAACTTTGGTAACACTGTAGTTTGCAATACAAAAATCCTTGAAATAAGGATTTCATACAATAGCTAATTGGAAACTCTGAATACTTTGCAGAAGAGAAATTTCCATTTGAATCCATTTAAAATTTACTTCCTTCTCCAAGGTTCTCCAACGGAGAAAAAAAAAATCAGAGATCTTAGAGATCTCATTTGGCAGCAGCTCTGGACAATCCAGTGTACCCTTGAAGTTAACCTTGTTCTGAGCAGAAAGTTGAGCTAGCTGACCTCAAGAGACCTCCCAACCTGAACTCTGTATCATTGCATTAACTTTAATGTTGACAGGAAGGAGACCACCACTACCTTCTCTCTCACAACTGCAGCCCTGTTCCTATACACTGTGGCTAGCAAGAGTCCCTGCATTTAATGCTATTACAACTCTCAGTGGAGAGAGCATAGCGGCAAGAACACACAAGTGTTCCTTGACCTGCAGTCTGAGGGCTCTGCTGGTGCAACAAGGAGATGGTCCTCTCTTTCAACTCTGACATCCAGGCCAAAGCTACAAATACCTCCATACACTGCCAGTTAAATCCTGCAACCAGACTGCATCTCCTATTTGGCATGGGAAAACTCTAAAACTACCCTTACAGGAGTGTCTAATAAAATGTGGCAAGTGATCAGTTTAAAGGGGGTCCATACAAGCAACTCAAGGCTACTGAAATGCAGACAGCATACAGAAACTCTCAATTTAAGGCCTATGAAGCATCTGGGAGGACAGGTCAGCAAATAAACCACAAAGAATATTCTAACAGGTGGATGATGCCAGGAAGAGAACAGTTTTGTCTTTAGGGGCATGTAGGAAATAGAATCTCAAATCCTGACACTCTGAGAAGGATGTGAGCAGCAATTCTTATTTCAAACAACTGCTTTGACAGAACCCAGGAATACTGAACCCTCTATTGCCTCTTTCACTCAAAACCTCTCCAGAGTTCAATACCTTCACAGACACTGAACTTGTGCAGCATTTAGTGGCTGCCTCCTCTCTTCCCTCTCCTCTGCACTGTGGGCAGGCAGGGCTGCTGCTGCCTCCCAGTGCTGCTGTCAGGCAGTGCAGATTTACAGCTCCAAGGCAGAGCTCACCTTATTGTTGCTGTGTTTCTAGAACACTCTACTGCTTTATGCATTTCATAGGCATTTTCAAAAACATTGTGGTGCAAGATTCTTAAAGTAGTAGAAAAAAAAAAAAAAGGCAAACTCTCCTTGTTCCTGTAAAACTATTTGCTAAAACATAAGACAAATGCTATCTATCCACTCAACACTAAAACACATAGTGAGCAGACACACAGAAAGGTCATAGATCAATGCCTGTAATGCGTGTTTATAACATATCCAATTCCTCTGGGAAGAAGGAAAAAAAAGGAACAAAACAAACAAAAAACCAGTTATGTAATGTGAGAGCTAAGGATCATCGAATTGCTATTTTTTCCTTTTAACGTTTTATCCAGCAGAGTGCCCAGCTTTGAGGTTTAAAACAAAGCAAAAGCACGGGGCCCGAGGGCTGGTGCTGCGCCTCCACAGGCGCAAGGCCAGGGGCGCCGGGTCCCGGCTCGCCGGCTTCCCCTTGCACTGCCAGCAGGAAGGAAGGAAGGAGTAAGAGGAGGAGGAGGAAGTTAAGAAGGAAGGAAGGGTGGAAGGAGGGGGCTCCGGCTGCGTGCCGGCCCCCGCGGCCGCTTACCTGCGCAGCGCGCCCCGCCGCTGCCCAAGCGCTCCGGGCCGTGCTGAGTCACGGCGCGGCGCGGCCGCCGGCGCCCCGTGGGGAGGCGGCATCGCGACGGGGCGGCGGGAACCGAGGCGCGGGAACCGGGGCCGGCGCCAGCGGGGGAGCGCTGCGAGCGGCAGGGACAGGGAGGAAAGCTGCCATCAGCAGGTGCTCTATGCAAGCTGAAACCCCAATGCTTATGATTTAGGAGCAAAAGCGTTTCCTTTTGTTGGCATTTTTTTATCGACCCTCTAACAAAAGAGGTGAAGATTGTTTTGATAGAGGCACAAGAATACGCTCTCAAATAATTTGGTATGGGAGATAAAGCTTTAAAGTAACATAATTAGAAATATAGCAGGCAAGACCACGCAAGGCCATCCACAGAGTTTTTTCAGAACACCACCACATTGCGTGTCAAAAATGTAAAGCTATGCATATTGGAAAATAATGCACACGTAGTGTCACGTAAAGCTAGTAGTGACCCAGGTGTGTGAACAGTCAGTGCTACTTCTAATGAAGAGCTGAAAGGGGCTCATGCAGCAGACACACGGTGTGCTCCACACACACGTGTGCACATCACAACACGACGCTGAAAGCCGCAGAGCCTCATGTTCCACGCACTAACAATTTGGGGTGGAAGAGAGTGGCTTACTTTATTTTGTTCAAGGGCAGGTTCAGAAAACTACACATTTTTGCTCACAACCATGAAAACTCTCCACTATCTTTTGCTTATGTTGCAGTCTAACACCTTCGGTTTACTTTTGGATGTATCATGAAAGTTTTTTTCCCCTTTTCTTCTGGCTACTGAAAGGGAGTTTGGTAACAACTGCAGCAGTAACAGATCTGTGCTATGTGTACAGCTTGATGCCATCCAGGCCCTGCACCCAGTCTGTTCCCAAACTGAAAGTTCAGATGCACAGTAAAACAAAATTAGACAGTTCCTACCATATACAGCAAGAGGCACAGAAAGCAATGGGAGGAATGACAGACAACTGGCATCGCAAAATTTCTGCGTGTTAGCAAATAACACCTTCATCACTGTTAATTTTTACAGTACAGTTGGTCCACGTGCCACTCCTGAAAAAAGCATCAAGGCAATAAATACTGCCTAGGACTTGTATGATCACAGAATAAGTACTGTAATCTACTGGGCTAAGCATCTATTGAGAACCAAGATACCTGTGTTGAAATTCAGTATCTGACATGGATGAATGCTTGACACATGGAGTGTCCCCACAAATCTGGGGAACTATAATCACCAATACATCTAAGTAGCCAGACACAGAAACTTCTCGCTTTTTTAATTGCCAGAATTACTTAGAATAGTCTTTTTTTTTCCCTTCATTTCTTAAAGAATAAGACACAGACCTTACTTACACTGTCATAAATGAATAGATATACCTCGAATCCCTCTCTCCAACTTCCACTGTTGTAAAACTATCATCTTATCACTGTTATTTTGTGGTTACTTATCACACAAAGTTGTTGGATCCTGTAAGAATATCCACTGTATGTTACTCTTACTTCCTTTCTCTTTTTCTGTCTTCTTTCTCTATTTTTTTTCAATTTTCCAAAATTCTTTTCCAATTTTTCACATTTTTTTCCAATTTTCTCCTACACATTGTACTTCCCCTACCTTTTCTTCTTTTGGTTCTTCCTACCATGTCCCTTCTTGTTCCTGCTTTCAGTATTCTTTTCCCTCAACACTGACTCCTCTTGGTTCCATTCTCCCTGCTTTTGGTGTCCACAAGGCAGCAAAGTGCTCATCGTGTGTAAATGCTAACAGGGGAAAGGGAAGAAAAATTAAGTTAATTGTGAAAAATCATATTTATTATCATGTAGGTGTACAATAATTAGGAAATAAATCTTGTTTCCATAACCACAGAACAGACTCTGTTTTATACGATCTACATCATTTACCATATACTATAGGAACCAACTTTTCAGTCATGTTATAATTTTCCTCTTAACCCATGGAATACGAGCAAGCTAAATTTTCAAAGTTACACTGGCTGTATTTTATTCCAAGCTAGGTAGTATATTAAATACTAGAGCCTAGTATATCAGTATATAGTAGTAGTATATTAAATACTAGAGCCTAGAAATGAATGCCTTTTTATCATCTATAACATAAAATACAGATCCTTTCTGGTGCATCAATCAGCACCCATACCAATACTACTATGATACATTTGTATCTAGATTGATAACCACGAAACAAGATTTAGCATTTTAACATTTATGGAGACCAAGGTTTTGAAGAGTGTCTGGATTTTGCAAAAGCCATTTTTCTATCATTTTTCTTCTTATGCCTGTGCCGGCACAGAATTATACCAAAATAGTACCTGTAGCTATGATCTAACATAAAATTGTGATATATTTCCCATTTCTAAATTTCTCTATACTTTTATTAAAAAGACACACTGGCCTATGAAGTTGAAAGATATCAAAAAAGTACTGTATGCAGAGGCTTGTAACATAGGGGAAGTATTTTTTTAAACTGTAAAAAAAATCTAATCACAACTATGTATTTCACTTCCTGTATTTAACATATCAATAAAATTCTAAAAAGGCGTAACAAGACTGAAAATTTAAATTTAATGATATAAAATGCTCAGTGAATGTATTATACAAAATGATATTTTAACATAAATAAATACATATATATATATATCTATGCTCAATCTTAAAATTGTATATGGAGGCTTAAAGAAAGAATATAGAATAAAACTTGTTTACTGGCTTTCTTCTCTCAGTACACTCAAACAGTCATCAATCAGCAGTTTGAGAATCTCTTGGACCAGGAAGAAACTGGATTTGTATTACATAAAAAGGAAACACTTATCAGACACTTATCAAAAATATATATCAGATTATGCTCATCAGATATAGCTGAAGCACTAAAAGTTCCACAGGAACTTAAGGAAATATTTCTGAACAGTCAGGGTGACAGAGCACTGGTAGAGGTTGTGAAGAGAGGTTCTGGAGTCTCCTTCTCTGGAGATCTTCAAGACTCACTTGGACACAATCCTATGCCACGTGCTCTATGTGACTCTGCGTGTGCAGGGGGTTAGACTAGGTGACCTCTAGAGTATACATACTCCAGAGGTCCTTCCAACCTTAAGGATTCTATGATTCTATCTGCTCTTTGCCAAATAAAAGTGAATGCTAGTTTCCATTTTGAAAACTACTTTTTTTTTTTTCTGAATGAAACTTGCGAAATATGGTTTCCACTGCTACCAGAATAAATTTAATTGCTCTGCCATCATAATTAGCATATACTACTGCTAGCTGCCTGTGAGACTTGGCAGGCAATAGAATGCATTGTTGGTAAAATTATATAAATGAGGACATCTGAGTTTTGCTCAAATCCAATGCAGCTATATAATAAAACAACATTTTTTGCATTTTTTTAACTCAACAAACTAGCATATAATATACTATCAAAGTATACTTTCCTTTTTGCAGACATGAAATACATATGTGCCTCAAGGATGCATGGCATAACTACACCAGAAATGAAGCAAGGCAAGCCAAAGTCTGGAAATTTCTTCCTGGACAGGAAACTATAAGACTATTGAAATTCTACAAGTGGCTTGTTTTAGGAAGGAGCAATATGCCATAAATTCAGCAACAATACATCTCAAAACATATCACCTAAGCTGTAGTGTTTATATATAGTGTTCAGATCAACTGAGCTCTGGATGCTCACATTTGCGAATTTCAATGTAATTTGAGAAAAAATTGCTACATTGTAGGCAATTTTCTATCATGTCTCTTTCAGAAGGACAAAAGCAGCCCCCTCCCCCAAAAAAAGACTGTCGCTTTTAGAAACATGCAGCCCGTAGGTACCCTGGAGAGTACTGAGGACACAGGATTCTTGATTAATCAAAATCTCTAATGCAGCAGGCAGACGGGATCTGAATTATTTAAAAGATAATTTTTCTCCTTGCTGCACTTTTGCTACAGTCTGTGGAGGCATGCAGACCTGAACTACTTTATTATAGAGGAATAAGACTTGTTAGGAAGACATAGTAGCTGTTGAGTGTGTATCAGTGGTTTGCATGGTAGTCTGCTTTAAACATCAAGAAAGTCCTCATCAGTGCACTGCTACCAGGTATCCTTAAACAAAACAAAAAAACCACAGGACCTTGAAAAAATCCAATAGGTGGGATTTTCCAATAGCAATAGGTTAAATGGTTTAGAGTTCTTTCACACTGTTTAGCTGTTGCATTTGGCACAACATCTGTAGGTTTAATACTGCATTCTTAGCTGCCATTCTTATTCATGTTTTCTGAGACTTTTCTATTAAAATACTGAATCTAGTGTCTTACACCCCTCAAAATGCTTCTAAACCCCCACATTCAGAAGCAACATGCAGTTGAGATACAAAGACAGTAATACTACTTGAAGTATGTATGAAGGTGTTCAGATATAGGCCTTTTTTTTTTAAAGGTATTTCAGACATACACTTTCCAAAAACAATTAAGTAGGAGAAAGAAAAAGTTTTTTCCTCAATGTGTGTTGGAGCAGAAGTGAGTATTGCTGGCTTGGGTCAATGGTCTTGTTCCATTCATAGACTTCTCTGTTCAGTTCTGTATGGATGTCTAAAATTGAGAGTTTCCTGCAGCAAAAGAAAACACAACTTTTCTTCAGAGAATGAAGCAGAACAACAGTTAAGAACCCACAAGATCAAAGATACTTTCAAACTCAGTAATAAGAAAGTTTTTTGAGTTTTAGTCTTTACATAGATGTTACATTTATACCTTTTTAAAGGTTGAATATGCATTTCTGAGAGTATATGTTATATCCCAAATCACTATGATATCTGTTATGCTCTCCATTCCTGCTGACTTGTGATTTGGTCACAAGATTTTAAGATTGTGAAAAGGTACGAACTGATGACCTGCAGCTACCTTGAAACACAGCAGCTAGCTGACGGGTAGACCAAATGTACAATGAAGAGTTTTGCTGGTGAAGTTATATATGTAAATATATCTGATTTTTACTCAAATCTCTTTTGATAATATCTTTGGATAATCACTTTTTAGAGTTTCAACTCAAGATTCAAACTGTCCATCCTGTGGATCCCGAAAGAAGGGCAAAGTATATCTCAAGAAAATAATAATAAAGAATCCTTCTGTTTCAACAATCATTCTCCCACAGATTGAGGCTTTTTATATTTGCAAGCTGGGCCCTTCTTAATGGCTTAAGAGCCAGGCCTCAATCTGACAATTGCTATACATGCACCTGGTATTTCGGAGAAAAAAATTTTGAGCGTTTGCCTAAAGCACTGCAATCTGCAGAAATGACACACATTGTCCAGGTCAGGTCCCTCTCTTCACATTCTGCAAGTCACAATCCCATAACACACTTTCATTTTACAATCGAGAATGAGAAGCTTCACTCCTACTCTATAGTACCTTCCTGTGTCATCATTCCAGAATGAGGTCTTTTATCCTGTGACACAACATAAGGACACTTCAGAATCAGAAGGTATAAAAGTTAACACAGTTCTTCCCCTATGACAGTAGTCTGTTCTAGAAAAAGGGGTTCTTCTTCTATTTACCTTTTGTGGGGATTGCGGAGTAGCCCAGCCAGACAACGTAGGTAATATGAGGATGAACTTCGAGACCTTTCCAGTGCAGACACATCCACCTTGCACTGACTCCAAAAGATGTCTGCCACTTGGGGGATGGCAACTTTCCATGGTGTTTTTGCATTAGAAATGATGCTATCATCATTTCCATCTACTTCCAACAGACTAGCACCTCCTTGCTCATTTTCTGGCACAATATAACTTTGAATGAAGAAGAGCTTCGGTTTTCCTAGAAGTTCAGGACAGGAGTCTGCAGTGAAGTATTTCTTTACTCGTTCCAGTGGGAATCCAGGAAAGGTCTCATCTGTACAGAACACGCTCTGAGGGCTACCACGGCTGACCAATATGCAGATGAAACTGTCAAAATTTCTGTGCTTCTGCAACCTTGCAAATTCACGCAATTTTTTATCCATGGTGTCAATACTTAAATGTCTGAAACAATGAACTTCATAGCCTAAGTCTCTGAAGGTCTCTTCTAAAACATCTGGAAGAAAAGCAAGACATAATTAAATCAAGGCTCAATCTCAACTCTCCTGAAGAAAAACATTATTTATAGTAGATCACTACTGGAAATAAGATGTTCATTTCATCACAACATCTGAAAACCCAAGAGACTTCACATTAATCACAGAGTGCATACTTATGGTACTATAAGCATTTCATCTTTCCTAAGAGTTATACACTTCATGACAACGGACACACTAGGATGTGGCACATAATTCCATCAATTTTTGCACATTTTTGTTTGCTGGCAGTATCTCAGGGAACTAATTTTAGGACTTAAAATTTTATCAGGGAAGAGAAGACACTAGAAAATTCTTCACAGAGAACAGGCTTGTAAAGGAGAGGAATGGGTAGGATAGGAATCTGTTTAATTTGTCAAAATTAATCTGAATGCTAATTATCACGGAATGGATAGAAAAACAAAACAAAACAGAGGCACTCTTTCAGTCTAAAAGGAACCTTCAGCAGTCATTCATACTTGCTATTAAATAAAATTGACTTTAAGTGAAGAGTTAATGGACCCTAAACTGTAACAAGCCTAGTGACAGAATGAATTTTTAGCAACAAAAAGCTGAACACTGTTGATGATCAATTTCAAATGTGTCAGAAAATAAAAGCCAAAATCAAAATTTAACATAGTTGCATGCATTTGTATTAACATGTACTACAGGAAAGCACATTATGCTCTCAGTAACTCACTGGTCAAGGAGGACTTAGGCAAACTGCCCACCCATAAATCTACGGGCCCGGATGGGATGCACCCAACAGTGCTGAAGGAACTGGTGGGGGTTATTGCTCAGCCGCTCTCTGTCATCTTCAAGGAGTCATGGAGAGCAGATGAGGTGCTGGAGGATTGGAAGAGAGCCAACATCACTGCAGTGTTCAAAAAGGGCAAGAGGGATGAGCCGGGAAACTACAGGCCGATCAGCCTTATCTCCATCCCTGGAGAAGTGATGGAGCAGCTCATCTTATAGAGCATCTCTAGGCATGTGAAGGTGGTGACCAAGAGCAGTCAGCATAGATTCACCAAGGGGAAGTCATGTCTGATGAACCTAATAGCCTTCTATGATGGGATGACTGTCTGGCTGGATGAGGGGAGAGCCGTGGAGAGGGGAGGGCCTTGACTTCAACAAGGCTTTCAACACTGTCTCCCATAATATCCTTGCGGGGAAGCTCCAGATGTGTGGACTGGATGAGTGCACAGTGAGGTGGATTGAGATGGCAGAGCCCAGAGGGTGGTAATAAATGGGGCCGAGTCCAGTTGGAGGCCTGTGGCCTGTGGTGTCCCGCAGGGATCAGTACTGGACCCAGTGCTGCTCAACCTCTTCATCAATGACTTGCACGAGGGCACAGAATACACCTTGAGCAAGTTTGCAGATGATGCCAAGCTGGGTGGAGTGGCCAACACTCCGGAGGGCTGTGCTGCCATTCAGAGGGACCTGGACAGGCTGGTGAGTTGGGCAGAGAGGAACCTCATGAGGTTCAACAAGAACAAGTGCAGGGTCCTGCACCTGGGGAGGAGCAACCCCAGACATCAGTACAGATTAGGGGTTGCCATGCTGGAGAGTAGCTCTACAGAGAGGGACCTGGGAGTCCTGGCTGACAAGTTAACCATGAGGCAGCAGTGTGCCCTCGTGGCCAGGAAGGCCAGTGGGATCCTGGCCTGCACCAGGAGGCTGTTGTCAACAGGTGGAGGTGATCTTGCCCCTCTACTCAGCTCTGGTGAGACTGCACCTGGAGCACTGGGGGCAGTTCTGGGCTCCTCAGTATAAGAGGGACGTAGAGGTTCTAGAGAGGGTCCAGCAGAGAGTGATGAAGATTGTGAAGGGACTGGAGTATCTCTCATATGAGGAGAGACTGAGTGAATTGGGCCTGTTTTCTCTGGAGAAGTCTGAGAGGGGATCTGATTAATATGTGTAAGTATATGAAGGGGGAATGTAGGGTGGAAGGGGACAAGCTCTTCTCAGTGGTGGCCAGTGATAGGACAAGGGGCAATGGGTGTAAGTTGAAACACAGGCAGTTTCACCTGCATGTGAGGAAGAACTTCTTTTTTGTGAGGGTGACAGAGCCCTGGAACAGGCTGCCCAGGGAGGCTGTGGAGTCTCCTTCTCTGGAGGTTTTCAAAACCCACCTGGATGCCACTCTCTGCAACACGTTCTAGGTATCCCTGCTGGAGCAGGGGGGTTGGACTAGATGATCTCTAGAGGTCCCTTCTGACCTCAACCATTCTGTGATTCTATAACTACTTTCAGTGTTCATTAATTTGGGAGTAAAGCAAAAAAAATCGTGGTGGTTAGAACAACACACATTTAAGTGTTCTGTGGAACTACAAGCTACCACTTTTAAAGCTTCAGCATCACATCTTTATTATAAACTGCGTGTGTGTGTGTATATCTATCTTTATCTACACCCTAAACATAGTTTCTAGTAAAATGACAGGAGAAAAGTGCTGTATAGACATTAGAAACAAGTCTTTTTCCTTGATTCTAGAATTTTATCAATCCCTAATTAGCAGAGGCAAAGGACTGTGCTACTGCAGAGGTAACTGGTAGCAAAGTAACAGGTCGGCTAAAATGGTGTTCTCTTTGAGACCCAGGCAGTGAAAACGGAGAACAGAACTCAAATGTGCTCAGCAAAAACAAAGGAGAGATAGCAATTCTATAAACTCTACCACTACAGTTACATAGTGAACAAAGATTGCAGAATTTTCTTGCTGTTTTGTTAGTCTGATTAAATTCTTCAGAAGACGTTGCTGACACTTGTTTGTTTTGTAATTATAGAGGAAAACCTGCTCTATCTACAACAATAAAATAGGTCTTCAAAATTCATGTGGAAGACAGAATCAGGTACTGAGCTGGTTTTGCTCAAGATCTATTTAGTCTTAGTACCTTTTAGCAAATACCTACTGGCTGAGGCACTTAATCCATTAGAGGGCAGTCATGCATTCAGAAAGCATGAGTTACAGAACCTAGTGCTTTTTCTGTGACTTACATCAGTGGTGCATACATTATGTAAAGGAAGATACAAACATGCTCATATCTCATTAAAGACCAAGGTATTTTCAAACCTTGGGTCCTCTTCTACTCTCCACAACCGCATTTTCTCTGGATATGTCGAAATGCTTCCCTGCCTGCCCCAGTAGCAGACCACAACTTGTAGCAAGTGTGATGAGATCCAATCTTTTACATGTAGCCCTATTCAGGTGTTAACTCCTGTCACCTCCAACACCACTCATTCTATGACAGCAAGTATCTTGGTATTGGACTAGACCCTATTGTGCTGCCTTCCAGATAAAGGCTGTATAATTCATTTCTTGCATCAAAAAACAGTTGTGCTCTAACTCTAGCATGACAGAAGAGCTAGGAAGTAAAGCAGAAGTCAAAACATCAAAAGAAAGGTTCAATCTCAAGAGAGAAGGAGAGAAAAAAAAAATGAGAGTACAGGTAAAGTCATGTATTGGTATGAACAATTCAGTTTCTACACTTTTTTCCTTTTTTTTTTTTTTTTTTTTCTTTTATTTTTGCCAGAGATAGTTCATGAGCCTAACAGGACAGAGAGAAAAAGGGATCCTAGAGAATGCTGCTCAGTTGCATATAGCTGAGCTCCATGCTTTCTTCTGTCCCTCTTCCCGACTCACAGCAGGACTGTGAATTTTTCGGGTTGCTGGTACCCTACTAGAAAGCTAAGTATCTTGTTTTATGTATTGTTCTAAAACTTATTGTTAAACAAATTTTCTTGCTGTGTCTGTCATCTGCATTTACTCTCCGACTACAATATTAAGAACCGTAAGTTGGTCTGTGTGGGCCGTTAGTTACAAGAAATATAAAAGACATGACTCTTCCCCCATATCTCCTAGCATATTACGGAACTGATTGCAAGCATTCTCATTCTCTCCATTTTTATTTTTAGCACCAAGTGCTCCACTGACTAAAGAGGTTTCGGCTTACGCAAGAGCTTTCAATTCTAAAATTGCAAACAGAAAAATTTAAACTTTAACCAAAATACGTTTAATTTTTTCGGGCAAATTTTAACCTAATCAAGAAATTAACCTTTTCTTTACCCTTTAAAACTGTGATGACAGTTTCGATTAAACTGTACAAGACAGAATACAGGCCTAGTTGTGTTATGATTATATATTGTCAGCTATGCAAAATCTGTGGTATCCACTATGATTACACTTCAAGTGCAACTCCATTTATTTTTAAATGGTGTGAAACATCCTGTTTACCATACCTTGCAATAATCTGTATGAGTATAGCTGAACTACTTCATTGGTCTCTCTGAAAACCATTTACTTCCCCTTCTCTGAACATCAGTTTCCCACCCAAATTCTTTTCTTTAGTGCCCCTTAACCTATAAGGCAAACTTTCTTTTTTTTCTCCCCCAACAGTTAGGAGTTTCAGATTGGGCCTTTCAATTCTCTGCTTTAGAAGACTTGCTATAAATAACAGACTGGCTGAGTAAAACAACATGACCCTGGTCTGACTGGTGGATTTACATCATATTCTTTATATTAAGTCATTTAAATTATCTGAGATTAACAATAAAAAGAACTTCAATTTCCAGATACTTACATGAGTCATTGCCAATACAGTCTATGATCAGGCATATTCCTAAAGGCTGACTTTGCATTCTGTATTGATCATCGAACATCTAAAGAAAGTGAAAGGGCAAATACAAATTTGGTGATGCTTCTTGCTTCTCACAGGAAACAGACTCACAGACTTGTTTCTTGCATATATCTTTTTGCACTTGAAGAAGCCTTGCCGTTTCTAACAGATCAAAAAGGTCTGACTTCCAATGAATTTTGATTTAGCTTCTACTCATGAAAATATATGTTTTGCATTCATATCATTTATGCATGCTTTTTGCACAGTTTTGATTGCCTATTAGCATCTAAGATTTCATAGTAAAGCTATATTCTAAAAGCAATTCACACGACCTGTTTAAGGCACACGAAAATAGAGATGTATACATTCTGTTTGCATGCAATTACAGAAAACCTCAAACTCAATGAAAACTAATGGAAATATATAGGGAGACTAATAAGTATACATAAGCACATACACATACCTTATGTGACATTGGTTCTGATTCCTGAATTGATATATGGACTGGCTCTGCTGTGGTTAAAACATATGTATTTAATCTCAACATGCAGGCATCAGTGACACCTCTTTGAGACGAAATCATTTAGAAAGATGTTACTTGGAACACAGTCTACATTACTTGTAACAACTACTATCTCTCTCCTACGCTGAGAACATTCAGCTAATTATTTTTTTAAAAATCACCATACTTGAGAGTTATAATTCATTTCCAGAAAGAACACAATACATATGTTAGGAAGCTGACACTAACTAGACAACATGCTGGCTGGCCTGGTGGAGGTGTCCATAATTAAACTGACACAAAAACTCCCTAGTAGAGACAATTGTATGGCAGACAAAACGGACACAAATTTTGTCTGTGTTCCGGTGGGGAGAACACACCTGCACTACACTGGCCACCTGGGCTGACTAGTCTCTATCTTCAATAACTCTTTTCACAAATAAATTATATAATCCATTAAATAGTTATGAAAGTGAAAGCCCTAGTTATTTCAAGAAATTTTAAAGATAGGGCATCCCTCCCTGCAAAACAAATACAAGAGAACAACAAGATGGGGATTAGATATACCAAATACTCAGAAACTCCTACTAAAACGTGTAAACACAGCTATTACCTAACTCAATACATTTCGTTCTTTTTGATAATCACAACTCTGATGGATTGTTCTTACCATGAATAAGGCTTTGCCTGTTTTGTGTTTTCTCCTGATTCACACCTTGGATCTAAAACAAATAAAAAGCTTTTAGAAACTAGTATATATTATAAAATACAACAAAATAGTATTTTTATTCATCAAAAAAAAAAGATTACATATTGTTTCCTACATATTACCAAGGACAAATTTGCATGAATTCAAGAGGAAGTTATAATAATATTAGAACACTATGGATAGTCAATATAAATTCTTTCCCATTACCAGTTTGGAAAACAAAGCTGTTATGGCTGTGCTAGTGGAGACAAACTGAGCAATGGGTTTGTATGTAAGCTTTGCACATGTGTATCTACTGAAAACATGCAGAAAACATTTCTCTGCAAGGCTAAAGAGAGGTCACATCATCACAACATCAGATCCAGACCAAACACAGGAAGTTTCGCCTGCAGAAAATTTGATTGAAAGTAATCTAGTGGATGACTTTTGACATATTCGGAGATCTTTGCTAAAAGGAAATTAAAATAAAACAGAAAAAGTTTTCCTAAAAAAAGGAAACCATAACTTTCAACTTCCAAAGCTGAAATGCTGACAGGAAAAACTTCATAGAAAGTCTTTACAAAGGAGTTTTCTCAGTGTCAGAAAATGTAGATCAGGTTCTAACATCAGCAAATAACAAGAACTAGAGAACTAAACCAAGTAACATTCTGGTTGCAAGGAATCTCTCATTCCTTAGGTCCCAAGAAGATATAACTTCTTTTAATGTTGGGCAATATTTACAGACAAATAAAGGATCTATTCATTTATTTTATACTTACCCCTGAATTGTAAAGGGGATCAATCAGACTGAGATTAGGGAGAGATGCCTGAAGTGCATTTACATATACTGGCTGAGAATGAACGGAGGACATTATAGCTGAAAATTTAACAGAAACACACTGAAAAATACACTGATTTATTAACCATTTTAAAGCCTAATCCTTGAAGCATGAAAGTACTCTGACACATAACTCGAAAGTTTTGTTTTAGTAAAAAGTCACCTAATCCTTACCGTAAGGACTATTCAGTTAAACAGACAAATAAATAAATTTATTTTGAAAAGCATTTTACCTTCTTGTTTGTATTTCTGAATTTTCCTAATCAGGTCGATTCTGTGAATGTTTTGAAAACAGTCTTCTAATAAATCCAGTTGATTAGGAGCCACCAAATTTAGTTTTTCTAGGTCAACCACAACGGCTATAAAACTCTGGAACAGCAACAGGGAAAAAAATACTACTAAAAACTGTCCTACTAGTAATTTGCTCTCTAGCAATAACTCTGGGAAAAGTAAGGCCACTAGGTTAACAAAGCAACGCAGGAAATAAAGTGATGAGGTAGTAAGGATTGTATATTCAGGAATTACACACATAACCCTTTCTTAGACAAGAACAACTTTAAAAGAAGGAATTTTGCCTTTGTCTCTCTCTCCTGTGCTCAATGGACAAGTTTTCTGAATCCTCTCTACTGAAGTGCTTATTTCTCAGAGCTCTCAGAAGCAGACATTTAGAATGTAAGTAGGCTGAGAATGATTTAGTTAAAGCTGTTCTTTTGTAAATGAAACAGAGCACAAACAAAAAGTGGTAAGTCAAGGGAGATCCTATATATGCGAACATGCAGATCGGCAAATCGTAAATACTGAAGAAATACTTTATGTCTTCCACCTGTGAGATTCATGGGATACATGGTAATACCATGAATCACTATAGCAGCTCTTTCCTGCTCTGCCTTACTGCTTTTCTAGCTTGTAGTACAAAAAACAAAAACAAAAACAAAACAAAACAAAAAACCAGCCACATTCCCATTACTTTTTACTTTAATTTCTCATTGCTCTAAAGTAGAAGGCTAGGAGGGAGAAGTTACCTTATCTTTTCCCATTTTCATATGAGGTACATAATCTCTGAGTAGGAAAACAAGAGAATCGACCTCTTCTTTTTCCAGATTCTCATTGATCTCTGCCATTAACACTCTGAAATGAAATTGAGACACTTCTAAAACATTAGCTTTCAGCAGGATCCCACCCTTGCCCATCTCCCCATCTTCTCTCAAGTTCCAGTTTCAATGCACCATTCCTAATTAAAAAGCAGGAACAAATTGCACTCTGTTACAATCCATTTACAAAACACCTACTCTTCCTCATCTGCTCCTGTGTCTTTCTATAACTATTTTTAAATGGGAGGGTTCAAGGCTGGAAATCAAGATACATAATTTTTGTTCCTGTCTCTGCTTACATCTTGAGATAGAATGTCATGACTTATGAGAAGATACCAAAGCTTACTTTAGGGATTAAACTTTCAATACTCTTTTCATTATAATTTTAACATTATAACTTTTACATATGATGCCCTTTTCTCTTCCTCTTCCATCCAGACAATTTCTAAAGGAAAAAAAAGGGGAGAGGGGGACAAAAAAAAAGGAGCATTTTGAATAAAAGAGTAGCCTTGAAATCTGAAAAACATACATTACCTGTAATTAGAAATAAGTCTGGGACACCTGGCAAGGTTAGCTTCCACTGTTGCCTTCTCAGTCTTCAGGATCCTCCTCAGCATGTCAAACCTCTTAATTCTGTACAACAACTCAGACAAGCCAAACAGAGACAGTTTCTCCCTCTCATTCAAAGCCGTCAACAGCTCTCTAAGGTTTGCGGTAGCTAAGTCAGGAGCAAGGTCCCGACATAAGAAAATCATTAGCTCATCTTCTTCTTTATCCAATTCTTGTTCAATCTGGTGAATAAGGGCAGATGGCACTTGGCACTTTGTCATCACTTGGTTGCTGTCCCTTTAAAATTGATCTCCTTCCTTTTTTTTTTTTTATACAGGAAGCCACCATGACACAAAGCCCATTTCCACAGCAGTGCTTCTCCGGTGTTCAGTCTTAACTAGATGTGCTACAAAAGTAGCTCTGAGGGAGAGAATGAAAAGGTTCTAATCAGTGATCTAAGCTAAAGTGTCTAAGTGTCTAAGCTAAAACTTCTTTCTAGAGATATCCACTAACAACTAAAACGTCAACTTAGACTATAAAGACCTACTGTTCTCGAAGGGGTTCTCCCAGATGTTCATTACAGAACAAAAAGTAGTTGGTAGGTCATAAGAACTTCAATTTTTTGAGTCGTAAGTAAAATTACCTTAGCACAAGCCTGTAAATTCCATAGGAAGTGAAACAACCAATCAGAAAAAGTCATCAGCCTGCTGATAAGCAGTCACATTTTAAGTGCTTCTGGAAATAAGAGTTAAGTTATACAGCATTTTAAATCTAAAATTCCAATCTCTTTCTACCAACCCACCATCCCCTATTTTGACCCAGAAGTTCCAAGATGTAGTGTAATGCCATGTCACGGACAGAAGTACTTAAAAAAATACATAAATGATACTACCAGGTATTTGTAATGTGCTTTATCTTAAATCAAAACAAAGGAAGTATTCACAACATAATAGTCTTCAGCAGTCACCTTCAATTTTAGAGTACAAGATGGGTTGTCTTATCTGCTAGTATCTTCTCAAGCGATTAAACCACGCAAAGGAAAAAAAAAAAAGTCCAATCTTCATTATGCTGTTTTATGATCTCTGAAGGCACAAATAGGCCACAGGCTGCCTTTTCTTCCACTGTGACATTTATGTTTCACAATACCAAAAACTGAAATTAAATTCAAAACTAGGAAAAAAAAAAAGAATAAAACTCTTGGAATTAAGAGTATTTAGGTTCAATTTCTCCTGTCACCACCAGAACTACTTATTTTCACTAACTCCCTTCATGTAAGATAGATCACATGTCACCGTAGAAAAAAGCTGAGCAGTACTTCCAGTGCTGAATCTCTTACCTGTATGCAGAAACATAGAAAGACAGACATCTGATCATGGCTGTCTTACTGATTTACACATCCAGATCCAGCACACATTGGTTTTCATCCAGTATTTTCCAAGGATGGTCCATATACAGAATTGATAATCTCAGCTCATTTTCTGTCAGAAAAATATCAAAATTATAAATTGCAGCTGGGGGTTATTGCTAAGATTAATGGGGAAAACTATGGAAAAAAACTGTTATGATCACACATTCTTTGGCTTGATTTCAGATGGTGTTTTGAACTAGGCTATCAGGGAGAACATCTAAGCCTACAGTCAGTGGCCAAGAGTACACTCTTGTAGAGTTTGAAGAATGTAATTTGTAATTATTGCTAAAAGAAAATACTTTCAAAGACCTTCCTCTTTTGTTCAGTGTTGCACACACCGAGGAAAGATTTCAGCACACAGGTTATAGTGCAGGAAGATGGTTAATACTAACCAAACTCTGTGTCTTGTAAACAAAAACAAACAAAAATCAGTCGTGCCTCCCTGAGGTACACTTATTTTAATTACATTCTCAACTTAAAAGAGATCCAAAATCACTGCAAATAGCAGAAATCTTAACGCAACCACTGGCATCAATGTATCTGAGGGTACTACAAGACTGTCTCAGCAATGTTAGGGGCGGTGAGTAAAAGGGGCAGGCCTACAGACACAGCAAAGAATCATACTTATCGTAATCAAATGATGAGGAAAGCCCCAGGTACAATAATGGAGGATGACTGGAGAGGAGACAGTTTTTCTGTAAGTCTGGCTATTTCAGTTCACAATCACCCCAAATTTTCACAGGATTTTGTGGAGAAAAAAAATAAGTCATGAGGTCTCTGAAAAAAAATGACTCATCAGTGATCCTGTGACCCCAAAAGAGGACTGACAGAAAACCATGTCTCAAGGGGATTACTACCAAAGCACACTTAAATGCAAGTTTCTGCTTTTATTAAACTTTCAGGCGTTCCTTAACAAAGTGGAAGGTTTTAAAGCTGATCGGACATTCCCATGATGAATTTCTCACCTACAGCTATGGGAAAGCACCCCTGTCAAGGGTACATTTAATGTAAGCTTACATTGACTTAAATTTATTAAGATAAACACCTTAGAAATAAAAAAATAAGACAATGTATTTACTTTTCAGACCACATTAGTCATTTTCATTCCATACTAGGAAAGTAGCTAGGAAAACATCAGTGTATTAACATGCTTCTATGCAAATACTAAAATTAGTTATAATCTTGTTTTCTGTACAGTCTTACACTGCCTGTTGTCCATGTGGAATGCACCCAAAATCAAGGGCCAGTATTACATTAAGAAATAGAAATCTTTCAAGACAAACAGGGAAACCTTTTGCACTTTAATGATCATGTACAATTACAACCTGCAAGCTGAGGCAGCATATCTTTCTTGGATGTTTCATAAGTGTAGTAAGCATCTCTACAGCAGCAAAAATAGGATCTACCATGAGCATTTACAGTTCCTGCTTGGAAAGCCCTCTGTTTCACAGGATGAGTTGAACAGAAGCCCTCCGCCAGAGCGTGAGTGGAGGTCACTAGCTCTAAGGCAGTACATTTTGTGCCCCTCCATGCTACTTTGATAGAAGTGGTCAGATCATACGCTGCTCATTTTCATCATGTATCATCTGACTTTTTTTTTTAAGTGCTGAGTATTTCAGGGCATTTTCCACAAGTTTCAAATTTACCCGTAAAGAAAGATTATCTGGTATGAGGCTATCAGGGAAAGCCCACTGTAACTTCCAGCTTGCTCATCCTTGTATTAGGCCTAAATGCTTTGCTCTCTGTGTAAACCAGCAGAGACCACATTAGTTTCCCCTTAAGAGTGAGCTAGTTTAACATTCCAGTCTTCCTAATAATACAAAAAAAAAAAAAAAAAAAAAAAAAAAAATAAAAAAAAATAAAATAAAATAAAATAAAATAAAAAAAAAAAAAAAAAAAAAAAAAAAAAAAAAAAAAAAAAAAAAAAAAGGCTTTACCCTGGGGAATTTCAAGGATTTCCGCCCGATTTTAACTACGCCACTTCAACCTGAACGAACAGCACCGAGAAGCAAACTCGGCCCTTCACGACAGGGCGCTGGGTTTCGTTTCTCTTCGCAAGTACGGGCGGTTCGCGCCTCGCTGGCGCCAGGCCGCCCACCCCATCGCTGTCCCCAGCCCGGCTCGGAGCCCCTTCAGAGCGGATCGTGGCGGGACGATGGCCCCATCGAGGAGCAGGGCGTGCGGGGCCGCCTATCCTAAGGGCTCGGGGAGAGGGAAAAGGTAGAGGGGAGGCATAACGCACCCAGGCGCGCCCAGAGCGTCTCATCCACGGCGGCGGGGACAGGTCCGGAGCTGGGAGCGCCGGGGGGGAGGAGAGGGGGCGGTGTCGAGACCGGTACCGGGCGTGGTTTCTAGGCACGGGGGGGATATAAGCGGCTAGACCCTTTTTTCTTTCTGATGCGAGGTTTGGGATGAGGGAGTCGCAGACTTTCCTGCGCCTCTGGACGGTGCTGGGACCAAAACCGCCTCCGCGCGCCGGCGACAAGGGCTGCCGCTTAGCGCAGAGAGCTGCCCTCGCTGAGGGGTGACGGGACTCGGTACAGTTACCTCCCCCTCCCTAGGCGGCTGCGGGGCTGCAGTCGCCACCCCTTACCGCCACTGCGGGTGGCTGTTAAGTGTTTAGAGGAGCGGCTATCTGCCGCTCTTTTTCCGTTGCGCAGGTGGGACTTTAGCCTGTCTCAGCATAGGGAACGCTCAACTCTTCCTTGACGCCGTTGCTCCGACCGCAGGACGCTCGCAAAATGGCAGCGAGGCGGCCCCCTCCGCCGCGCGCCGCGCCACCTGCTGGCGAAGCTCGCGCACAAAATGGCGGCCGGCGCTGAGGGGATGGAAGGGCGGGAAAAAGGGCGGGAAGAGTGGCCGTTAGGTCTGTGTGGGAGGGGGCTAAGATGGCGCCTGGCAGGGGCATGGGCGCGTTTTGCGTATGTCGGGAGGGACTTGCGGGGCTGCTGGTTGCACTCCGCGAAGGGAAGGACGGAAGTTGCTTCAGCAGATAGCTGTGTGTGTAGACACGAGTGTGTGATCTATATATGAATAGACCGCAGACCTTTTTGAGCGATTTTCAGATGATTAAGGTCCAGCTCAGGAACCCTTCAGTGGTAGTTCCCGCAGTTGTATTCGGTAAGGAAATGCGGACTCTAGTAACAAATATTCCGTATCGTAGGGTGTTTCAGTGAGGTTGGTGGTATACAAAACCACTTTTTTTTCCTATGTACATGTCTTGGTGTATCTTTCTTAATTCACTTGCAGTAAGGAAAGTAATTGTACAGGTATGTGACAGCTTTAAGCTTCCATTTGTGTAATCTTCAATATTTCACCCCTCTAAACTTGGTATTGCCATTTCTATTATTTGAATGGCAAGTCCCATCAAGCTACTTACTCTGAGGTGGTTAGTATCACAGAGCTGCTCTCTCCAAGTATAAAATTCTGGACTTTTGTTGGCTAAATTAGAAGCCTCACCCATATGTGAATTGGGATATAGTATATTTAAAAAAAAAAAAAAAAGTTCCAAGTCCAAAATGCTTAGAAGTATTTACAAGGCAGCAAACCATTTTATGCCCTGGAAAAAAAAAAATGGAGCAGCTGAAGCAGAGTTTTCTGTAGCATAACACCTGCAAAAAAAAAGTGTAATCTTCCCCTTGTAAGAGCAAGGAAAACTCACTACTCAAACTAGAAGTTGGTCAGATTTCACATAAAGCATTCCAGTAAGATTAGATGTGATTGAGAAGAGATTTATTTATTTGTTTTGATTTAGAGAGTTTGGGAGTTATATTTCTGCCTTGTATATATTTCTCTCAATCTGCTTTAATCAGTGTTGCTCTGATTTGTTTTCTAGAGTCTGCTAGTTAAGTAAAACAAAATTATGTAAGAAGTTACGCCTTCCAAAATTCTATATATTTAAAAGTTGGATTTTCTTTGGTGTGACTGCAATATATCCATATGCCATGTTGATAATATCAGTCATTGCATTTTATTTATTTTTTAAGCAAATTCTGTAAGGAAACAGAACTCCCATCTATGCCTCACAAAGCTATGACCATCACCAATTCTGTTTTTCAAAACTTAGGAACAAAACGAGCTTCTTGACTGATGTATTACCATCATACTTTTTCTTTTTCACCTACAGGTGGCCCCCTGCTGTTTGTGACTTAAAAAAAAAAAAAAAAAAACCCACCTCTGTGAAATTATCTTGTGTGCTGGTAGGAAGGCTGCTTTAATTTCAGGACATTGCTTCTAGAATTACAGTGAAGATAGGTTTGGTACTTAGGAAATCTATTTCCAGGAAGAATTACTAAATGTGAAATCAAAATCTTAGAATATTGCGTGTAAAAGGAGTATTACATCAATACAATCTACATCTGGTTTAGAAAATATATGAAAACACATTTTTATATTCGATAATATTGGTATGGTAAATTCATCATAAATGTAGGCAACCGTTGATGGTAGTGGTTGAAATGCTTTCTGGCTATTACTGAATTACTCTCTTAATCCATAAATTCATCATTTTCACCTAAATTTGTATAGTTCTAACTAACAGTTAAAGATGTAGACTGGGCATAGTTTTTAATGTAGATTGCTTGTAAGGCTGATTCTTAAGATTTTCCCTAACTTAAACAGCAATTTATGGAAGAACTATATTAAATTGGGATGACTTGCTTTTAAGTTTTCTGAAAGCTTTGGCTGAAGTTAATGAAGACGCATGAGATTCCAGCTGACTAATTATTAACTTTATCCATACACCACAATTCACAACAAACCAAAATTTGGATAAATCTGTGAGGTTTTTGTTTACGTTTTCAAAAACCTCTAAAGAGAATACATATAGAAGAACATGTAAACAGAATTTCCAAAAGAAAACTAAATGAAATGGCAGCTATTGAATAATGTTATATTAAGGCTTATGCTTCTGGGAAAGAAACGAAAGAGTTGGAGGGCAGGGAACCAATCAATCAGTCTGCACATACATCAGCCATGGATACCAAACTAATTACAAAAGAGCAGAAGTGAGCAGCACATACCTGAAGTGCAAGATTAATCAATCCCATGTGTAATGTTAATCATGTACTTATGAACAGCTATCTAAAATTCAGCTTTCCTAAGCAGTTTAATTTTAGATCCAGTTAGAACAAGCAGTAACACAAGCCTTTGCAAATGTGTATCCTGGGTAGGACTGCCTAAGGGACAATGTGGAAATGTTTGGTTGCAACAGACTTCACACAGTATGTTCTTGATTGTTTTTTTCATGGAATGATGCAATAGCATAGGGATACTTGAGAAATAATTAAGCAAGAAAACAATTTCAGTAAAGCAGCTATTTGACAATGAACAAGGCCTTAGGCGATGCCATGCAGAGATGTAAAATGCTGTAGAAGTGCACGTGGTCTGTTTGATAGTGTTACGTACTGGCTCGAAAAATAAAACTCTGGTATAGCCTTACTGAAATAGCAATGTGGTGTGTGTGTGTGTGTGTGTATATATCTATATGTATAGGCGTTTTACCCATTACTTGATAATTTGGCTATGTGAAATTTAAAGCCCAACTTATAAAGAGTAGCTATGAAAATTCTATACTATTACAGATTCAGTTAAGTTCTATATTGGGCAAATAAAAAATCAACTGCCTTTCCCCATCTTTTGTTAACAATTGGAATTAGGGTGAGGTACAGTTATTGCTGAGTGAAACATGCCACTTTGTTTAGTAAATGTGACAACAATGAGAAGTTTAATTTCTGGATATGACGCTAAGAGCATATTTTGGTGCCTGGAGTCTATCAAATTAGTAAACGCTTTAATAGGGTTAATTGTAAAATTTAGTATTTTCATATAGTTTAAGGCAGTTTAGTTCTTCTAAAGCTTTATCATAATGTTTATGTTTATTTACTATTATTCACTCTTGCATGTCTCTAGAAGTTAATTCCTTAAGAAATGCCAAATAGTTCATTGCCACTTACCAATGAATAACTGTTATTAAAACCATAACTAATACAGTATTAAAAAGTTTATTTGATGCAACATATTGCAGTGCTTGAAAGAGCACTGCTGAGACTTCTGCTAGTATTCCTTCTAGTCTGAAGTTGGATTTGAATTTAGGAATTATTCTGCATAAGTTTTAATCCTTCCACAAACATAATAAAGCCAACGAAACGTGATTTTGTCTGTGATAGATTTTAATACGTATATTACAGATATAGAATGAGCAGCACATTATTGTACACTTTTCTTCAGAATAAATTCTCATAGTTGGTGTTCAGTGATGACCTCCATTCTTCTTTGGAGGAAACATTGCATATTCAACGCCAAGAGCTATGACGAAAGCTGCAAATCCCCACTTGAATCCCTTAGTAAGGACTTCTGTTAAGGTGACAGGTTTTGCAAAGCCACCCATATACCTCCAGGCTTCATTACTAGGAGAAAAAATAAAACAAGATCAGTGCAGCCACTGTGATTAAATATGGAGGGGAAGGAAGATGCTTGAGAGATTTCTAGCAGATCTACTTTAAGACTGTAACATTTCTCTAGTTCAAGCATTAAAGGACAAGGAATTGCCACAGATGAATGATCTGACCTCTAACACTTCATGTGTGTCACATGAACTACATGTAACACTTGCAAACAGCATCTTCTAGTAACGCTTGAGGTGGTGAATATTTTGTACTGTACCCAGAAGCTGTTAGGTTTCTGTGACTCAAGATGAAGGCTTATTAGCACAGAAGAGAATCTTGTTGCTAGTGAAGGATATTTGTTGATAAGGTTTTCAAATACATCATCTTTTACAGAGATTAGTTGTATGGAATGTGTATGTTGCTACAAAGATGTAACGTTGATCCCATTAGAAGGAATTATATATATATATATATATATTTACTAAAGGAAATTGCCCTAAAGAGGATTACTATTTCAAGATTTCTAATGCAAGATAGTTATAATTCGTTTTTTTGTCAGATTTTTGAAACAAATAACTTGGTACTTTAATTTCTCCTTTATAAAGGAATATAGCCTTATATATCCTTTATAAAGGATAATAGCTTATCCTTCTCTGCAACTGAAATATTGCATTAGGCAGGATTCCTTAGAAGGAATTATCTCGTGTTTTAACAGTTGCACTTTGTTCCTGATTTCAGCTTCTCATGACCTTCGGCTCAATTCCCTTCTTTCACATGTTCTTTCCTCTAGGAGAGGGAACAAGCAGTACATAAGTCCTTTTCCAGTTTGTTGTTTTGTAGCGCTTTCTGAACATTGTACTTGGAAATGTATGCACTAAAAGTCATATACTAATTTACACTTGAATTATGATACTGAACTGTGTCTGTTTTTTTTTTTGGGGGGGAAATAAGCCTAATCTTTGCTGAAGACAATTTCATCTAAATCATGGGGAAAATGCTTAAAAATACAACAAACAGTCTAAGGCTGCTTGTGTTCTATAGGCTGAGAGGCAACACAGCTGAAAGAAGTGCCAGAAAAGTTGGGTGGTAGCTGGTAAGCCTAAGAACTTGTACCTTAAATGACTTTTAGCATCATTAAAACTGTATGTTTTACTCTATAGCCTTAAACTGTTTCAAAGGAAGGAAAAAAATGCTTTCAACACCAAATCCCTCCTGGGGTTATGGCATGTAACACAGCAACAACTTTTTAAACAGATTACATTTTTCTGTTCTTGTGATGTGATGCAAGAGCAAACAAGTGAAGCTGTTATTTTTGTGAAAGCTCCTAGCTGCTGTTGCAGCTGCTGTTGCAGCTTTTGCCTTACAGAAGGACTGTACAATACAGCACAAGGCATTTAATGTTCATAGTCTCCCAGGTTAAAGAGTACTTGAGCAAGGTATTACATAATTCATGCTAGCAGAAAGTATGTTAAGCTCTGTTTTAACAGCTGCCTAAATAGTCCAGAGTTAGTTTGGGGAAGAAAGGAGGTATATACTGTAGATCAGGACAACTTACAGGTAAAAACCCTGATCTTCCATGACTTAATTCACCCAGTTTTCTATGTTATATGCACTGCTTGGCAAAAAGAAATGCAGAATTAAATCAAATTCTGCATTATAAACTAGCACATTTCTTAATTTCAATAACGGCTTCCACTGTGTGCAAATACTCTTAGTCCTACTCAGAACATCAATGTCAGTTCCACTGACTTCAGCAAGATCTGAGCATGGAATCTCCTTGCTGAAAACAGACAGGGTTACTCAAGTGCAAGACCTGATGTTACTTTAGTGTTTTTGGTGGCCACTGCGCCCCATTGGGGTCCACCAGAGCACTGCAATGTACAAAGGTGCCTTGTAACATGAGGAAGCTGGACCAAGTAATGGAATGGTAGTAACCTACACACACACAAAAGTAAACAAAAGCCTAAAAACCTAACTCATTTATTCTAGATGCATTTTTTTTTTTTTATTCCTTCACTAAAGTGTCCTCTGCAGTGACATGTTTAGGCTGATACTGTCAGGATTGTTTCTAAGGCTCATGCACCTACCGAGCCCACGGATCCCTCAGACCCCGCCTAGCCAGCCTTTCCTGGACTTGTTCGAGCGGCGTTCCCTCTATCTTCCACTGCCTATAGTCAGGGAGCTCCATTTTGCTGGGCCCGTGGCCATGGCCGTGTTCATTTCCATGCCCCATACCTACAAGAAAAGAGAGAGCATTTTTATTTCTCAGTATCAGTTTATTCTCACACATTTACAAAGACCTGCACAGGGCGAAGAGGGAGGTTAGAGGCAATATTTTAAAACAGTTTGTTTTGGTATGTTCACAAACTGCATGTGAAACATCTTCGGCAGTATGCACCAACTGTGCACCTCAGTGCAGAAACCAAAAAAAAACAGGATGCTTCCTGCTGTGTTTCAGAAGTTGGTGATTAAGCACAGTAAGACAAACTGTGCTAGACTAATTGTTCTGCTAATTGTTCTGAATTTCTACATGTTGGGTTTATATCAGCAATAACCATTTGTCCAAAGGTAACTGCCTTAATAGATAATCATTGTAAAAAGATTAACACATTATGTCATTTAAAAAAGTGATGTTGTTGTTTTGTTTTTCTAATAGAAACAATCACTTTAAGATATACAGCTGAATATAATACAGACATTGCTATGGAACATGAACAATACATGTACAATTTAAACAGAAAACAAACATCTCAGGACACTATGATAATAGCTTGGTATCATAGTGTCTTTTAATTCTTCTCACAGATGACTGATTTTTTAGACATATTAGATTGTATAAGTATTTCTGAAGTATGGCTTAAATAATCCAAAGTGGATTTTTTATTTTTTAATGTCAGTTAAGGAACAGCATTACAAAGTTTATCTGAGTCTAAGTCAGTAAAATATTCTTAAGTTCTGTGGTTGGAAAACTGAAAAAAAAGGCAGTGCAGACCTTAAGCACACTAGTTAAAATAGCTCAATGTTCAATTTGATAGGTCTGGGAACTGTCTAGACTTATTTTAATAAGCCTAGAAGTAGGGATGGCCAAAGTGAGATAGCAACTATTTAACTTCTCACTGACATACTGACTGTCCGTTGTTGGGATAAACAAGAAACCACTGACTTAGATGCTGAAGCTTACTATATATATATATTAAAAAAAAAAAAAAAGGATTAACACAGGTCAGTATTTGTTACTGCAGCAGTACCTGTTTCGTGACACAATATGACGAGACTGAATTTAAAAAAGTTAACTGGTGGGATCAGCTAGACCTTGGAATAAAAAGTTTGTTAGCATTACTATGTGACTTAGAACAACTGGACAATACTGTAGCCACTGAGTATTTTTTTTACTAAAGTCTGGCCTTTACGGTGTATTACATACGTCTTTCTAAAATTTGCTTTTCAAGGAGGAGAAAAACTTGTTAATGACTGTGAAAGAGAAAGCATTTAAAGTTATGTGCATTGATTGGTTCTCATACATGAGAGATATCGGCTATATTTGTCTTTCTCATGAGAAACATAAAAATGTGCAAAATACTTTTCTGTGCCAGTAGGTTTATCTCAGAATAATAACAAATTTTTCATACCTTATGAGGTTAATGGTGTCATACTGAAAGCATTTCCACACCCTGATTCAAATGACAGCTTAATTCATTTTTCAGGGTAGAAATAATCTATTTGATAAGCTAAACAGGTACAGTTTAGATGTTATTTGCTCTGTATTCATTATTAGCATTCATGAAGCAGCTCTACACATTTTCTTACTTTAATATTAAAAGAAATATTTTTTTCCTGATGTCTATAAATGCACTTCAGCAGCACCAGGGCCTGTAATTTTCTAGCTCTCCAGAGCACATCAAAAAGCTCTGAGATCAATTTGAAAAACCTCCAAATTTGATAAATTACCTTTTTAAGTGATGCTTATTAGAAGATATTTCTAAATGCTCAGACTCCTAAGGTTTGGTTAACTAAACAGTTTTAATTACAGATACTGATTTCCGCAGAGCCATAACCCCTCTGACTGCTTAGTTCACTGAGAAGCGCAGAGCCGCGACAGCGATAACCAAGCTCGGAGGAAAAGCGAGTGTTTATTAAGGAGGCGGCTCCCGAGCTCCGCGCCAACTGCTGCCGCCCAAGCCCGGTGCCGGTGCCGGTGCCGGCCGGGGTAAAGCAGCGGGGAGGCCGCGCTGCGTCCCTCGCGCCGCAGATATTCACGTTCTGTCCAGAGGCGCCTACAAAAGCGCTGGGGAACGGCAGAGGCCGCGCGTGGCGAGGCGCGGAGCGGAGCCTGCCGCGCGTGGCGGGACGGGGCGCGGAGCGGAGCCCCCCGCGCCAGGCCCACCCGCCTCACTACCTGCCCGCTCCGCGACCCTCCTTCAGGACGCCGCCCGGAAGCCGCGCGCGCCACCGCCTCCGTGGGAAGCACAGCGCGGCACCAAGGTTCCGGGCAGCTTCCGTTCCGCCTCCTCCTGCTCCTTCCCACTGCGGAGTCCCCGAGGCCTCCTTGCCTCCTTCCCCTCCTGCGCCGCTGGCGCCCTGCGCGGCGCGGCCCTGCGCTGCCCTGTCCTCCCGGTGTCGCTACGGTTTGACGGCACTGGTCGCGAACCTGAAACGGAGCCGGCGACCCCGGCGGAGGCGGTGTGTGTTGGGAGGGGGAGGAGGAGCAGCCAATCGGCGTGGCGCTTATTTTGGGAGCGGGAGCGGCCCAATCGGTGGGTCTGTTGTTGAGCTGCGGGGCTGGCAGCGGCCGGAGGCGGCGGAGGAGAAGCGGGTGAGGGGGCGGCGGGGGCGGCACGAGCGGCTGCGGACGGAGCCGGAGCCGGAGGGTGGCGGCGGCGGCGCTCGGGTCAAGGCGGCTGCAGCGGTAGCAGCAGCACCAGCAGCGGGGATCCCTCCCTCCCTCCGTTGCTTCTCTCCTCCGGCACAGCGCGCACGCCGGTGGCCGTTGCCCGCCGACCGTTGGCGGGTGCGCGAGCGCGGACGCAGCCCGCAGGCTGCGCCAGCCGTTGGCGCCCCGGGCCCCGCACGCGGCAGTCCGCCCGCGGCAGCGCGGGGCTGTGCGGAGCAGCCCCGCCGCCGCCGCCGCTTATGTAACGGGCGCGCCCCCGGCCCGGCCCGCTCCGCCGCCCCGGCGGCGCAGGAAGGGCTCGTCGTGCAGCGCGCAGCCCTCCGGAGGGCCCCGGCGCGCGCGCGCGGAGCAGCGCGGCACCCTGGAGCGGCGCGGGCGGTGAGCGGGAGCGGGAGCGCAGCGGTCTCCGCGCGGGGCCGGCGGTAGCTGCGCGCGTCGGGGGCACCGTGGCCCGGCTGTTGTCGCGCTCAAGGTTGAGTCCCCTGCGCTTGGAAGGAAACCGGTAAATTTTAGCCGCTAACTCGGTGGCTAACAAACACATAAATCGCTCCCGTTTGTAGAAACTACCCTAGTGCCTTTTTTTTTTTTTTTTTTTTTTTTTTTTTTTTTTTTTTTTTTTNTTCCTGCTTGTAGAAGAATGCAAACTCTGGGGTGGTCTTTTCTGTTGCTTTTTTAGAGGAATAAATACTGACTTATAGCTTAAATCTGTTCCAGGCTTCCACCAGAATCTATTGCGTTTCTAAATCCTGATGCAAAGCTGCTTCTGTATTTCAGTGTTTTTTTTTTATTGGGTATGTTCAGGCAGCATGAGAAGACTTCCAGGAGGAATGCTATTATCATGTTATTAACAGCGAAACTGTTCTAAATAGAGGGCCATCTGTTTAATCCAGGCTGCTTCTGTCTGGTTTCGGCATTAAATGTTTTTCACTCTGAGATCTGCAAGATGCAGAGCAGTCTCTTTTGCCCTGTGGATGTCAGGGTGCAGGGAGACAAATGTTGACTTTATAATAATTTGTGGGGAGTGGAAGGGCATCTTTATGCGATCACTACCTGGGAGTTAAATATCAGAAACCTGTAATAACTTTCAGCCACAAGAAGCAAGAAATATATTGAGTACTTGTTTAGCATGCAGTGATGTTAAGGAATGCTTATATTTATGAGACATCTTGGTCGTTTCTCGTGTGAGAGGGGAGAAATATTTGGACCCGTTTTTCACTGATTCTTTTTATTTTTTCTTTTAATTCTTTCTTCATGTTAAAATACTTAAAAGTGTGGCTGCGTATGAAGCTGAATTTCCATGATTGTTTTCTCAGTCAGTAATATTCAGTGCTGATCAGATAATTTTGACTTTGTGTGACCTAGTGTGATCAGACAGAATTATAGTGGAGGATTATACTTGGCAATTGCTCGTCTTAAACATTCTATCAATTTCTCCATTCAGCAAGGTTCTGGGAAGCTCTTCCTCCCCTCACATTCTAGCTACATTAAGACTGGGTATAATTGATAGGTTTACTCTACTGATTGAATACTCAATGTTTGGCTTAAACTATCTTTCTCTTCATTGTGAACTCTATTTTTTTACCCCCAAATAAAGGACTTTAAATATGAGAGATGTGATGTTTTAGGGATTTTGGAAGCATTTTGAAGCTATTCACCAAATGAGTGAGTTTGGATAATTTCAAGGAGGCTTACAGTCTTGCTCTACAGCCTGTGTTTTAGAAGCGGACTCAGAACAGTTGCTTATATTTCCAGGCTAAACTACTGTAATAGGCACAAAGAGTAAAAAACCCTCAAAAAGACATTTTCACTTATTTCAGAACATAACGGATGCCCTTTGGGAAGGTAAGGTCACTGAGACTCCCTGAGACTCTGTATACAAGTAATCAGTACTTTTTAATGGTTCGATAGACTTCTTCTTTGTGCTGCTGCTGCTGGTGATTATCGGAATGATTAGATATCTTATGAGGCGGATATGTTTACGTGTATACAGCCTTGCAAACTCTCTTTATCTGCAATTCCTGCTTACGTTGCTAAGGCTGGAAAAACTGGCAGGGCTTTCTTAATAGTTTTCAAAACTCTATCAACACTTTTATTGACAGGCATCCTAGATTTAACAGGTTGTGGAATACACGCATCTTACTGTTCTTCTCTGTCTTTGCACAGAAGTATTCTCCTTGTCAATGCTATATGTTTAGTAGGAGGGTTTTTTTTTTTTTTTGATGGGGGAGGGAGTGGAGATTCAATTCATACCTTAATGTATATGTGAACTACTTAAAATTACATATTGTATTCTTTCTCCCCCTGGAATTACGTAATACTTTTAAAGACTCTCTATTAGCAGTTATTTGTACTTAATGGAAGCCTGTCATTTGCAAAGATCAATGCTATTGTAATTACAATAAGCAGGGGAAAGATGTTATTTTACTTCAATAGTGAATATTAAAAAAGGCTATGAAATGTGGGGAAGGAAATCTTGGGCATTAATACAGCTAAATATTTTATGGATAGTATCACAATCTCAAATAGCTCTTTCAGCTGTTTAGGAAAGGTGATGTGCTGTGGCAGTTATCTCTCTCCCTCTGTATCTGATAGACCATTCTTCACAGGAACAGCTGTACCAGGATAGCCTACTATTCCTTCTCTAAATCTGAAGTCTGGGGATCCTGGTGTACTGGTGTATGACAGGACCATCATTTCAAGTCCTGCTCACCTTCCCCCAGCGGGGCAGCGACTGAGGGCAGATGCTCCTTCCTTAAGCTCTTTTCTAAGCAAGCATATAGTGTTACCTCTTAGGTAAGCTCTCACCAGCTCTGAGTGTGGATGATGTTTTGTATGGCCCTTCCTTCTGTAGATATACTTATTTATTTTTAAACTCTTGAGCCCATGAATGGGTTTTGCATCTGCTATCTTTTCTGGTGACAAATACCATGATTCAGATGTTGTGCGAGTGTTTTGTTCTGCTTTGAACCTGTTACTGGAGAACTTCATTTGATACTCCCTGTTTTCCATGTGAGGAGACACAGCAGTGTTTGCTTGTTTCTTTTTAAACATGATCTTTGTGGAGAACCTGACATCCTATTGTCTGTGTGTCCTATATGTACTAATAAATCCATCATCTGTTTTAGACGTTATCTAGCAGCATCATGATACTGAACATAGAAGGTCTATGACCTTCTAGCTGAGATATGTTTGAGAGAATAGGAGGGTTTTATATAAATTTAGTTACAGAGAGGACTGAAGCAAACAAGTCATCACACATTCTAGTGCATGCTAAGACTCTAGAGAAACTTTCTCATCTTTAGCAAAGAACAAAAACTTGCTTTGTGGTACTGATATAGTGTGATTTGAATTTGTAGATCAGCTTTTCTGTTTTGAATCCTTGAACTATTGTCAAGTTACACCTTTAAGAATATTTTTGCCTTGGCAGTAACCTTGTTGAAATTAAAACCAAATAACAATTTGGTATTAAGAGAACAATGTGAGCTCTGCATTAATGTCATAAATTGATATCCATAAGGAGCCAGCCCTGAGTGTTAAGGGTGGGTGGGTGGGGGGGGTGAAGGTACTGGAAGAGGTGTAAATGTCTTTAGTAAAAAATGTTATGCCTGGCAGACCCACCAGGTATCTTTTTGTTAAGGAATCATTGTATGACAGACATGGTCATGGTGATGACTTCCTCTTTTTCCTGCAAGACAAAGTGCACAAAAACATGGGCATTGTATATTTAATTCAGATAGGTAGTAAGGATTTCTGGTGTCTGGGAAAGTTTTGGTCTAGTCTTGGGAGCTGTGTGTGTGTGAAGACAGTAATTTAAAATCATTTATTCGTGTAGGCAAAGAAATGAAAAATTAGTGGACTGTGTATTTGTCGTGTATTTGTTATGCTTTCAGTCAGCTGTTGTAATTACAGGAGCAGCAGCTGGGTAGAACTGTTTATTCATTGGGGAGCAAGGTATTGGCCACTGTTATGAGTGCATGTATTAGTTGCTACAAAGATTATTATTTATGGGTTGTGGGGTGGTTATTTTTGTTTGTTTTTGGTATCTGCTGGTTTTTGTTGTTGTTTTATTTACCTTAGCTGTTTTCTGGTTTCTATGAGAAGTGACTGCTTTGAAGACAGTCTGTGCAAGGGCGAGTCTATAAGCCATGAACTCTGTTGTGTGCTGCTCTTGTACTGATCTGACTACCTTGCATATACATTATGAGATGTCAAATCACTTGACAAGTGTGGTTATCTGTTACCCAACTTTTGCAGAGGAAAATTCGTCATGCTTCTGGCTCTGTTGAAGTCAATTAAGTTAATATAGACTTAAAATTGACTTCTGTGGGATTAAGGCTTCCCCCTAAATCTCCAACCTTCTGTTCTAAGCATATTGCCTTGCTAAACAGATGTGAAACTGAACTTCAGCATACAGAACTAATGCTTGTGTTTGTGGCTCGGGTATAGTCTAGCACTAGTCTTTCTCTGTAGAACGTAGTAGTATCATAGTAAAGGTATGCAAGTATTTTAACTCCTAAAATACTAATAACCACAGTTGATAGGCAAATGATTGGTAAAACTAAATTCAGTGAAATTACACGAAAAAGCATTTTAGATTGAATTTCTTAATAATACTGAGCCCTTTGACGTAGAAATGTAAGGCATGTTGATGAAGGATTTATCCTTGGAAAAACTCGTATTTTTCTGTGTATGACACTGGAAAACTTTCCATTGCTTTTTTAAGATGTTGCTGCACTGAGCTGAAACAGTGTACAGATGTGAGCTAAATACAGACACAGAGAGCAAGGGGGCTCTAGATGTGTAGAATGGAAAAATGTCTCATTCTTCCTGAGCATTTTTTCCCTTTTTCTCTTTCTCTCTCTTTGTTTTCCCTTTTCTTGGTCTTGGGTAAAATTGCTGGGATGTCAAGATTCTAGATTGCT